TTCCCATCTATGTGTTAGGACTGCAACTGGTCAGTCTCTAATTGGCCATATGTGCATACTGTGCTTATTGTCTCGATATAGCCTAAATTCACAAGCATGGTAAGCAAAGATGGATAGTGGCTAGCAGTGGAATCCATTTTTACGTGCGTTTCGTCCTATTTGGGACTCGTCAGTCAGGTGTACCTGCATCTCAGAGGACGAAACGCGCTTCCTGGATTCCACTGCTAGCCACTATCCATCTTTGCTTATCAAAGTGAATGTTTTCAATGAATATAAAGAAAAAAAATTGAATGAATTAAAATATACTTTAATTAATTTGTATGAAAATTATATGCACTGTGTATTCACGAGGTATGGCAACTTGGACCGATGGATATATGTGCCTGGTCCTACGTTGTGGCTAACTGACTGATTGCTCTGTGTATTTAATTGGTACAATGAGATCGAAGCTAACAAGTTGTCAGTTCATTATTATCTGATGCCTAGTTTATTCAGCAAGTTAGTCATTCAAAGTGATCCCGAGTGTTGTTAGAGTTGTTTATGTCACTTCCCGGTTGACGATATCATAGAAAGATTATTGGTTCTGAGCTACCTAAAGAGGAGACGAAATTATTAGTTGTCCTAATAACTTGAGAAGACGGATCCAAAACCCAAGAGGTAGTTTCTCGAGGCCGGTTACATGCGACCTTCTTATAAGGAGTACTTGACGTATACTTATGAGGCATCAGCAACGGCAACGGGAATTTTTAGGGCAAGGTGTGGTATTATTTTTAAGGCCGACTTTTTTGCTAAAACACTCCTTTTCGGTAGCGCATCATCGCAACGGATACTAGTTATTTAAGGCAAGCACCCAACTGCTGTCACATCCCATTTCACCTGGTTGTACGGTTTCGTACATATACCGTCAGTTTGTCACTTTTAATATCACCACTTTTCAACCAACCTGTTTGGTATGGTGAAATTTAAAGAATCAAATTTTCCAGTCGATAAACTTCGATTGAGTAATCAGGATACGTATAGCTGATCATCACGTCATGTTAACAGTTACAATCGAGACACTTTATTGGTATTCACCTATGTAAATGTATTAGTATCTTTGAGAGAAAAAGAATCAAGGTTTATTATTTAACTTATATTCTATTTGACTGGGTATTTTGTCACGTTTTCAACTGTTGTGAATAACCGAATTTAATCTAATGTAGCATTAAAGGACAATCAAATTAATCAAATGTAAACTAAATTGAATGGTGGTAATGGAAACAGTTCGGTTTCTTTTGTTTTATTATTTTGGATCTGAAAAAAATAGTCACATGATTAGATTTTATAATTTGATACACGTTTTAGTAAGTTAAACTATTTGTACCACGAGGAATGTGTGTAGTGTTATTATCGATGTAGTAAACCAGAACACACAAGTGGGGACAATCGAACATAGTTGAAACACAAATTTACAGAATATCTTAGTAAACTCCGAGAACCATATTGTAAATATACTTCAGAAAGGGTTTTGTGGAGATTTCAGTACTGTTCATAGTTGAAATCATCAGTCAATTGAAGCTAAGAGATAAGAACTCACTGAAGACAATTGGTGAACGGTTACTCAAACTTCGTGGATTGGTTGAAGTTAGACATTAACACCGTTGGATGCCGGCTCAGTGGTCTGTCGGTTAAGTGCTCTGGCGCGAGACTGATAGGTCCTGGATTTGAATCTCGCGAGTGCTGGGATCGTAGATGTGCACTGCTCAGGAGTCCCATAATGGGACGAAACAGTCATCCAGTACTTCCAGGTATTCCATGGTGGTCTAGCTTCAATTGACCCAAACTTGTCTGTTGCTTCTGAAAAATATCAATCAATTGTCTGAGACTTCATTGTTCCTTTATTTCTACGTCATTCAATCTCTATTCTCGTTCTCTTCTCTTCGATCTTCTCAATCTTACACCTTCAGACATTCCACTTCCGTTTGGTGATATATGCTATTTATATCTGTTGACATTAGTAGCACACACCACAGAGATAACTCAAATTAAACAGTATTCATTGATAATCGATAGATTGATGCTATTTCAAGTTTTCTTTTAATTACTTATATGATATAGTTGTATTTGATGAAGATGCTGACAAAAGTCTTCTGACCGTCTTATGGTATTATATTAACATGTTCTGAATGATTTCTTCTCTCTCTCTAAATGAAAAAAACGTTTCTTCAGGACTGGTCTGTGTCTGAGTTATGTAGGTAGGTGAATACTACGCGATTGGGGTCCAAGTGACTAACTTAATTGGTAGTTAGAGAGTCTACGTGACACCGTTCACAGTAGTGCAGGTGCATTTACTCTTGTTTTTTTTTGCCTCCAGATCCTAAGTTTTTGAATTCCTTGTGACATTCTTTATCTCAATAGTTCATATTTCTTGAATTTCATGTTGGAAGCCTAATGTTTTCTATTACCACTAATACTATTACTACTACTACTCTGCGATTGGTTTTGACAATTGCATCTCTCTGTGCTAATTGAGTTTGACAATTTGAACCAATGTACACATGTGCCATGTTCTATGTTGCATATGACTAACTGAATAGCTTAGATAATTCTTTTGCTATAAACCAATTACTTAAACTTGCACAGGGTTGTTGATTTTAAAATACTTATCTTCAGTCTCTGTTAACATGAACTTATCCTGAGCGAATCCTTCAGTATTGTCTATAATCCAAAGTTTTACTTCTTTGGATAATGTTGGCATATAAGTTGAGTCTATTTTTCTCATTTTATGTTCTACTATTAGCCATAATGCATAACTTAAAAAGCTTCTAATTATAGTAGATTTTTAAGAATTTATTCATAATGAGTGTATGTTAACAGAGATCGATCAAGTACAGTCTTGAATATATTAACAACCTTATTGACATTGTTGAACTGGTTAAAAATTAGTTAATCTTAGAAGCTTAGTTAATCAAGCTTCGATATTTAAAGCGTTAGGTATTGGGTTTTGATTTCGGTATGAACATTTAAGCGTGTTTACGAAAAGGTTTATGGTCTTTCCTAGTACAACTTACAAAAAAGTACAAGCAAGGACATCGTGCTGGTTGGTGGACAGTATGTGTTGAAAAGAATGAACATTATTCAGATGTCGATTCTTAAACTGTTAACATCTAATTGGTGATCACTCAATATTTATCGTCAGGATCGATGAAGAAATAAGAAAAGGAAACTTGTTGAATTATTTTTTGTTGGGATGATCCTGCAAACTTCTCACAATAGACAAGAAAAGCTCAGGAAACATTTTATCCAATCAGCGTTCACTATAATTTTTGTCAGAAACATCACGAAAGTGAAAAGTCACATGTAGAGATTCTTATCTAGCTGATTACTAGACTGCTACTATGTTTAGTAGTATTCTAGAATTTTCAGGAAAACCCAAAGACTTCTAAAATACTATAAAAATCGTATATTTTCTGTACATGAATGAACCTTTGGAGTAAAGTGCTTCCCGCATATTTTGCGCCTTTTCTCTCATGTTCAAGTCGCTGTGTAGTTCTAGCTTGGGGTTGAGAGACTAGCTTAGGATCCGAATATAGCGTTCAATCAGCAAGAATTCTATATTGCAACGAAAATATAATATTGCATAAAGCCATTGATAGTAATAAATAGATAAACGAACAACCCTGTTACCAATTGGTTGATTATCAAGCTCTACCCTGATATATACTAATGTTTATAGTGAACTGCTGAATCAGTCAAGGCAATTTATGAACCAATGATTATACTGAATTGATTACATAACTACATGTAATACGTAAATGTACAAGATGATAGTAACACGGCAGGTCAGCTACCAGCAATGATAATAATAAAATAAAAACAGTCTTAGTCAGTAGTTCAACGTAGTGATAGGGTCAAACTTAGTTAAACAGACTTTAAAATAGTAATCACAAAACATTATCCGAATTACGTAATGAGAAGTATGTAAATAGTTGGATAGTGAAGAAAATAAAGGTAAGGGATGAAAATGTCGACCAAATACATGATTTGAAAAAAGCCAATGAGTCAAATCCGACGAGAAAAGGAACATGGGTGTCAGAAATTTCCTTTGAACACACAAAATAAGGTTATAAGTTGGATCCCTCCAGCTTCTGTTATGTAGAAGACAGGATCAAACCCCATTAGGAAACGATGAAAGTATACAATGGATCACATTTTGTGCAAAGGACGTGAATAGTTTTGGGAGTAGAGATAAGAGTCAGAAATTTGAATCTATTGGCGTAAAGTCAACTTACACTCCACCAAAGAAATATCAGTTCCTTCATGGTTTCACATATGCCTTGTTAATGAACGCCAACTAGTATGAAACCTAGGTCCTCAGTTTATTGCCAGTTATCTTCAATTACATGGGATTAACAATAATTTGCTTCAATCATTTGGACACATATTTCAATTAGATTTTATTTCCTTTGTATTAACATGCGCCTTGTTTGTTTCTCACCATGATTGTGCATAAGGATGTGATCACTGAGGATGAATTGTTCACAGAATCGCACTGTCCTTGTGTTGTCGCAGATTTCTTTTATGAAGTAGAATCGAGGTTTACGACAGTTTCAAGTTATGTAGATGGGAGACTTATTGACGCCAACCCATCTGGTGGGGGTGTAGAAGATGAAAATGTGGATGATACGAGCAAAAGGTTCATTGATTTAATTCACGCTAATGGTTTCATTAGTGTTCTTTTCGACCAAAAATCATACTAAGCGCATCTTAATTTGTATTTAAAAACTATAATAGAGCGTTTGCAAAAGACTGATCTAGACAAAGTTCCCTTACTTAAATCTCAGGTCAAAAAGTACATGAAGAATATCTTTGATAACTTAGACCAATATGAGTTTTACATGAGTCCATCATCTAATCCTGATGCCATGATAGCGTAATTGACACTTTATTTTCATTGTTCCCTATTTCTACTCACCCTCTTTTATAACTCTTTGTTTTCTTACTACTTAATCAATATACAGGTCAGTTTGATCATGAGAATGTTGTCAAATTTCTATTATCAAGCTTTTGAACAATTCAAAGATTCATCAAATCAAATTAGTCAGATACTTCAGGCTGCACAGCGTGTAAGTGAAACTATTTTCCCCTTATGTGTTTTCTCTTGTGTGCGTACATGTATATGTTGTCTTTAACATAGAGAAAGAGCCAGTAGAACCTAAATTCACAGTAGTTTGTATCATACCTATTTAGTGTGAAACAAACTTACTATAGGTCTTGTAAGGATGGCTCATTGGCAAACTTAAGGAAGCCTCTAGAAGCCCAGAAAGAACCGAAGATATTCTATCCAATCACTGCTAGAGGAACATTCTGGAATGTCGAGATGTAGTTCTCCTATTGGTTGAATAAGAAGGGCCCCCTATGTGCCTATTGACTATCCGAAATGATGATTTACTTTCAGCCAAAAAACTATAAATACCTGAGATTTTGTACTATATTTGACACTCATGGTAAGCAGAGATGGATAGTGGCTAGCAGTGGAATCCAGTTTCACGCGCGTTTCGTCCTATTCGGGACTCGTCAACTGGATGTACCTGCATCTCAGAGTTGATGTTCACTCTAGGACTCGAACTCAGTACCTTTCGCTTCAAACGCCATCGCGTTGTTCACTTAGCTACTGAGTCCTGATAGCCACTTGCTTGTGCGATCAAGTGAAGTTTAAATTCATTCATGATTGTTTGTTTGAATTTTCCCATCGATTTGTTAGGACTGCAACTGGTCAGTCTCTAATTGGCATATTGTGCATATTGCTTCGATATAGCCTTAATTCACGAGCATGGTTGTGATACTGCCCAGGTGCCCAAATTGAAACAGGTGGTCTTTTAGGAGGCCACATCCGGAGCCTTTGACCTAAAGGCCTGATCCAAAAGGCAGTGGAGCATCGTAAGGAGATGCATTCTCATGGTAGCCGGTAACCAACGATTGATTCATACGCCATTTGTCCCCTCAGGATCCTTCAGCCTATGTACACCATTGGTTTGGAATCAGGGTTTCCCAACTCCCCTAGATGAACATTCCGTGTCCATCAACCCTGTTAAAGCGCCGGACATTCCCTAATTGTCCTCTTAATTCCGTAAACAACACTGGTGCCACAATAAGTCAGCGAGTAGGACTTCCCTGACATAGGCTATATACGCATGGCCATATGAGAGCATTTGTAGTGGGAGAGCGGACTCTCCCCATTCTCGACCGTACCAGGGCATTTGGAGGCAGTCTCATAATCTCTTACTCTTATTAATATTTATTTTCATTCTTAGTTTAATATGATATATTTTGATTACATCACCCCCCCTTTCTTTTTCTTTTCTTTTTTTTTGTTTCATAAATATTAGTCTAGTGAAAATTATGAACAAATTAGTTTAGAGAGTAAAACATTAACAGAAAAACTATTAAATACACCATGGGAACAAATACAATCGACAAATTTAGCTGATACACGTGAAGGTTATGTATTTGTTGCTACAAAAAGTAAGTTAGTTAAGTTTTTTCAGAAAAGTGAAAAACAGATTTAAAGTTATATTTTTAATTTTAATAGTTGAGATCATAAGTCAATTGAAGACAGACCTGGAAGGCATTGGACGGGCGTTTCGTCCTATTGTGGGACTCCTCAGCAGTGCACATCCATATATTATTAATGTTATTTATTGTTGTTATTTCTGACTCAGATTGTTTATTTGGGATATTTATATTATCGGTTTAACCACCACCGCATCATCATCAACACATACTTATAGAAATGGGTTTTTAATTAAATTGCGGCGTGAATAGCTCAGTGGTAACGTCTCTGACTGTAAAGCTGGGTGATACTGGATCGAATCCGTGAGGGAGCACTAGTTCCTTCAAGATTACAGGTACACCTTGCTGACGAGTGCCCACCACCAACTATCATCTTATCTCAACATAGTGCATGCAGTGTCGAGTCACCTAGACTAGTGGCCACATTTCAACTTGATCGATAGCATTTGATCAGGACTAAGAATGACTTGACACGTATAACATTGATCACCACTCAGTGATCCTATGGAAATCAGCGGATTCGTATAGCCAGGAGGGTTTTTGAGTTAGAAAGGATATCCGTCTACCAACCAAGTGACGGGTTTACTACGCAGCAGTTCGTTCCGTCCTACTTTATGGCAATGAAAAATGGCCAGTAAGAGTAGAGGATATTCGTGGGCTACTATTATCCGATCATAGATGTCTTCGAAGCATTGCTCGTATATCTTGGGACCACCGAGTAAGTAACGCAGTTGTTAGGAAAGGGGTACTATGTAAGGATGGCAAATCGATTGATGAAGTAGTAAAATTTGATCAGTTGAGATGGTTGGGACATGTGTTACGTATTCCGAACCACCGACTGTCCTGACGTCCGATGTTTTATGGTGTAGGAGTAGGTTGGAAGAAAGCTAGGGGTGGCCAGATCGAAACATGGCACAAATCAATGAAGTCACAGACAATTGGACTGATCCATGCTGGTACGTGTAGACTATCTGGTTGGGATCGGCGAGATGATAGCCACCGATGGTTAGAGACTTCGAATGACATGGTTCAAAATCGTGTGCAATGGTGAGGGTGCATCCACTCTTTGTGTTCTCCCGAATTCTAATCCTCTGAATTCTTCATGCCCCTTTCTTTTTTCTCCTTCCAAATGTATTTCACTGTATTATACTCTTTGAATAATATCTTCAAACCCTAACCTTTCCGTTTACTGTTTATACTCTTATTACTTCTACCACTATTGAATCAACAACTGCATCTCTGTACTAATGTGGTATGACAACTTGAACTGATGTACGTACGTACGAATCTCTACGTTGTGACTGATTGACTGACTGACTGAGAAAGGAACAAATGCTCATTACTGTTTGGTTTTTAATGGCTCTCCATAACGAAAATTATTTCATTATATCAGAAATGAATAAATGCTTGTAAGTAACCATGTTAATTAGGAAACCTGAATTTCAAGGTGAAATAATTTCTGTTTTATACATTCACATCTTATGTTCTATAAGTTTCTAAATTAAGTATGTTAATCAGTTTCATAAAAGAGAAACGATTCTCACTGCGGTCGTGAACTTATCTTTGATTAAAATCACCTTCATGTATCACACTACACTATCCTAGAAATCATAAACATCTCACCTCCAAATTCTTTGTTGATTTAGAACACTAATTAATCCAGGAACTAAGTTTCGTTGATACTTTTCTTAGTATTCTGTGATTGAAATATGCACATTACAAGTATAGATTAAATTTACTTATTATTTGGATCACTCTTTAGATAGTTATTATGTTTTATCTTTCTGTATATAACGTAAATTCATTCAATTTTGAGATGATGGAGAAGATTTGTAGCTCAGGTGGTTGATTTTGATGTTTGTTCTCTGAGCTGGATGGTTTGGTCGTGGAGCTTTCATCGTCCTTCTGAACGACATCATCATCAGCATAAACTTCGGGTAGAAGTGAAGTGTTTGAATTTCTCCACATGTGATTCACAGATTGTCCTGTGCACGTCAATGTTGATTGGCTCTTATTGACCTTAAATCTATCATTGTTTATTTCTTTGTTTTGATTGTATCTCCTATTGGTTTGATTTTTGTTCCTATGTTCCTGTATAATTTTCGTGATTGGTTGATAAATTGAATTGATTTCAATGTTTGTGCTGATGATGTCGTTCAGAAGGACAATTAAAGCTCCACGACCAAACCATCCAACCCAGAGAACGAACACATCAAAATTCATCCAATTTCTTTCAGCCTTTTTCAAATTATAACTGTAATGAGATGTCAACCAATTTATCCATAACCAAGTACATTAAAGTACAATTTAACCTTTGCTAAGAAGATAGATTCAGTTAGTTAATGTGTTACTCATGTTGAGTGTCTACTCCGATAGACTATGGTAGATTTCCTGGAGAAAGTCTTGAGATGACTATTATCCATCTTTGATTACCAAGCTTGTGAATTTAGACTATATCGAGGCAATACGCACAGCATGCACATATATGCCAATTAGAGACTGACCAGTTGTAGTCCTAACACATAGATGGGAAGATTCAAACAAACATTACTAAGTAAATTTCAACTTCTTCCCATTGCACAAGCAAGTGACTATGAGGACTCATTGGTCGAGTGTATAACGTGATGGCGTTTGAAGCGAACGGTACTGGGTTCGAGTCCTAGAATGAACATCAACTCCTAGATGCAGGTACATCCAACTGACGAGTCCCGAATAGGAGGAAATGCGCGTGAAACTGGATTCCATTGCTATCCACTATCTATCTTTACTTACCATGTTTGTAAATTTAGACTATATCGAGGCAATACACACAGTATGCACATATGCCAATTAGAGACTGACCAGTTGCAGTCCTAAAAAGATCAATGGGAAGATCCAAACAAACAATACTGAGTAAATATATGTATGATTATGCTTATCTCTGCAATCAAATGTTATCGCCAACTATGTATATCATTTTATATCCATCTATATGTCGTATTAGTTCACTAAAATCGGGGGTTTTGTTATTCTGTATTCCTGTGATTTGGTAACTTGGATAAAGATAGAATTACTTCATAGTTGGTTACAAATTTCCTGAGCAACTCAACTTATAATCGCTTTAGGGAATGTTTGTTTTGTGCACTTGTTTATTTCTCCTTTAAATAAACTGATTAATGGATTATTTTTGCTGTTTCATATCCAACTGATCATTGTCAGAGCTGTTCCATTTTTCCTAAAATATAAAGCAAATAAATAAATAGTTCACGGGTCGATCTAAGCTGGACCACCATTAAAAACCTGAAAACATTGGATGCCCGTTTCGTCCTAGCATTGTGTTCCTCAGCAATGTGCATTCACGATTCCGCATGCAGGACTCGAGCCCAGGACCTTCGGTCGTGATTATTTGTCCGTCCACTTCTTCCATGATTACTTTATTTTACTCGATCCTACTGCTTTTACTTTATATGTTTTCTCTCTGTGGCTTGTATAGAAGCTGTTATGACAATTTGGACAAAAAATTTCTGTACATATAATCGTAATAGTAAAATATTGAAGCTTACACCCTATACTCAATATCAAGACAATGATAATGTAAGTCTATTCATTTGATTATTTCGTTTGATTCAAGGTAGATTTTTTTTATCAGCGTTTATAAAATGGTTTTATGGTTGAAATCATGGGTCGATTGAGGCTAGACCACCATCGAAAATCTGGAAGCACTGGACGGCCGTTTCTATGAAATTGAATTACTCTTTCTTAATAAACCGATCGGGATCAAGATAGTAATTTTAGCTTTCTGCGCTAAATTCAGAACATCTGTCCATCTATCAATGTTTTATTGTTTGAAACACCTAAGATTTGTACAATAGGTTTTTTTGTGTTGTCATTAGGTATAAATGACAGAGTTTGAATTTAAAAACTCACTAGGTGCTCACTTCCTCTAATGCAAGTTGTACTTAACACGTAAATCGTTAAAAAATAACTTCATTTATTCAAGGTGAATCATGTTCTTTATACAGCCTGGAAAAGAAACTGCATTGAGAGTGGTCTTGACAACCTAGAAGTGTGACTGTGGAGCTCCATGGATAGTGAAGTAAGGCCAGTTACTCATAGAAATTTTGTATCACTTAATCTGTTAGCTCCGTACTCTAAAAGCTTTACAGACAGTGAAGGAAATTTGTGGGGTAGTATGAGTTGCGTTTTTTTAGGAGTGAGTTTTATTTTGTCCTTGCCTACTGTGGGAATGTAGCTTCAGTTAAGATGGTGGTTTTTTAATGGAGATATGTTACTGGCGTACATCCCATTACAGTCAGTAATGAGGCTTTATCCTGGGACTTTGAGTTACTGTTTGTAATCTCACTGTTCTCCAACAAACCTTCCTGCCAAGCTAAGCCCTTAAGAACGATGGTTTCAGCCAATATAGCTCGATCAGGTCACCATGATAGAGAACCATGATTACTATGTCATGTTAAAGGCTACATTCTGATAAAGATATCTGATTTCTTAATAGAGGTTTGACATGCTGGTGTTTGAGAAGTTCATTTGTATGTTTCTTATGATTGTATTATTTTTTAAAAAAAAACCAAATCTTTTTCATTGAAGAATACTGAAATATTGAATGTAATCTCGTGTAGACGACGATCAAATGATTCCATTGATAGACGTTGGTGTTTTGATATTGAAGTATCAAAAAGGTAAGAATGTATATTGATTATTATTATTATTATTATTTAAACACATAAATATTGGTACAAGGAAGCACCAGATATATATGCGCCGCACAAATCTTATTCGATTTGTGTTAGGGCTGAGATACTGCCCAAGTGCCCAAACTGTAGCAGGTGTTTTTCTTAAGGGACCACACCCGGAGCCCTCGACCTAAAGATCTCATCCACAAGGCAGTGGAGCATCGTGAGGAGATGCAGTTCCATGAGAACCGGTGAAGAACGATTGATTCATACGCCATTTGTTCCCTCAGGATACTGGAGCCAGCCCATGTTCACCATTGGTTTGTAATCAGGGTTTTTCATCTCCCCTAGGTGGACTCGCAGTGTCCACCAATCCTGTTAAAGCGCCGTACATTGGATTTTCGTCCTCTCAATTTCGTAAACAACAATAGTGACACGAGGAGGCAGTGAGTAGGACTTCCTTGACAGAGGCTATATACGCGTGACCATGTGAGAGCATTTGGAGAGGGAGAGCGGACTCTCCCCACTCTCGGCCGTATCAGGGCATTTGGGGCATATATATTATTATGGTTTTATTTTCGTAAAATAAAATGATGCATGATTTTCAGTGAGAATGATATAAACATCTCAAATTTGTGTGAAATGAACTACAATTGTCGATAAGTTTAGTGCTTCTGGATAATTTTTGTATGAGTATTTTTACGAACTCTGCCTATCGCTCTTCTAGGGGTACTGTAGGTCCTAAGCCCATAAAAAGGAGGAGGGTTGGTCATGTGGTTGACAATCTCAACACGTAGAAAAAAACCTTGCTAAAAACACACTAACCAATTGGAATGAATTAAACCATTTAAATTCTGCCCTAGGATTTTAAGGAAAAATTATCACGCTTCATGATGAAAGCCGAGATTCTTTCGAAGTCACAAGGCCTATCTCCCTTCCAACAACCAGAGCAACAACTTTTATAGGTACATGGAGCACTGAAGTCAGACATAGAAGTAACTGCAAGTTTGCTTCACGTTCTATTCATGACGATTTGGGAGGAAGAACAAGTGCCACCGACAGAATTGAAAAAAAGATACTTCATCAAGGTACCAAAGAAAGGGTATCCGAATAAATGTGAGAACTAGAGGGGCATCATACTACTATCGGTACCAGGAAAATTTTTCAACAGAGTGTTACCGAACCGGATGAAAGACGCAGTAGACGCCCAACTTCGAGATAAACAGACTGTATTGCATAAGGATCGGTCGTGCACAGACCGAATCGCGAATTTACGGATCATTGTTGAACAATCGGTTGAGTGGAGCTCGTCACTATACATCAACTTCATTGACTATGAGAAGGCTTTTGACAGTGTGAACCGGCGAACATTATGGAATCTACTTCGACACTATGTAGTTCTTGAGAAGATTGTCAACATTATCCGGAACTCATACGATGGACTACAGTGCAAAGTGATGCATGGAGGACAGCTGACATATACATTTCCAGTATGAACCGGAGTCAGAAAATGCTGCTTACTTTCCTCAAACCACGTATTGTGGGAGAGAACAAACCAGGTTCTAGCTGAAGAGGAAATTAAGAAAAGACGCCGGAAAACGATAGGACATACATTACAGAAATCACCAAACTACACCACGAGGCAAGCTCTTATCTGGAATCTTGAAGGAAAGCGGAAAAGAGTAAGGTAAAAGAACACACTACTCTGGGAATTGGAAGCAGACATCAAAAGGATGAATAGGAACTGGTAAGAACTGTAAAGGATCACTCAGGACAGAGTTGAATGGAGAATGTTGGTGGGCGGCCTATGCTAATTACTTAATCACGCTTTTAGATGAATGCTCATTTTAAAACTAGAAAACTACTTTTCATCAAAGTAATTCATTTCTACTTTTCAGAAAACGGTTTTGAATGATGCTTATAATGTGGGATAAATCAAAGACAATCAGTAAATCTAACATTTGCTTCAATTGATAGCTCATATCTGTTGATCTGTCTGACCCTATTAAGGGCCACAAATGTAGATAGACTGTGTGAAGTTTTACAAATTGACTGATCATACACTAGTTAACATTAGATATTTTCACTGTCTTTAAACTTATCTGTGTTTTGTGTTGATTGACATATTTGTAAGTCACATAGCATATAATGAGCATTAAGTTAAGTTCCTTGTATGACGAAGGATGAAACGCGATTAAATACAGAAATTACTGTAGACAGTCTTCACATGATCAATAGTGATAGTAAAGGGGTTAGGATTAAGTATAATAAGTCGAGTCATAGTTATGAGTTAGGGTTAAGTGGATTACTGTTAGCAATTAAGATTATGGGGTTTAGAGCTGGAGAACGCTTTGCGCCCACACATATACCCTTGACTATGCATTGCATCACATTAAGTATTCTAAGATATAATCCCCATGAGAAGAAGGTATTTCTTGTCATTCAGCTTATGCAAATATGACATTGACTGTGCGGTAACACAAAAGATATTTTATCAACCTTAAACAATTTAGGAACCAAATATAAACAGTTTTTACTAAACTCCTAATAAGATACAGAATATTCCCCCTACTGCATCTTCAATTTTGCATTCGAACTCGAAAGTGGCTATCTTAAATCTGGTTTATTCATCACTACATTATACTTTTATTTGATCAAGCTTCTTGTTGTTACTTATTTAACTATACATTGCGTACCTTGCCATAGTTTTTATTTTATTTATACTAACAGATCTACTCCACTTACTTTACAAGCACAATGCTTGGATGATCTTCATGAATGGCTTCTTGTAATGGATGGAAAAGAGCCAGTAAGTTACTTGATTTTTTTTTAAATTGCCTATTAAGGGTTCTAATGAAAAGCGAATTTTCTGTTAAAAACGCATGTAATTATATTTTAATGTTTTTCTCACTCTGTGCTTCCTGTATATTAAGTAGTAGATAGTTTCCGGGTTATGTTACTTAGCCATGTTTGTCCCCGACCTTTAATTCTGGCTGGTATAGTAGGTTGGAAAATGGCTAATAGTTAGTAGATAAACAAATAAAATCACTCTGTGAGATCATCGAATCGTCACTGTTAGTCGTATCGAAAGATGCAGACTTCGTAGTTGACTCCTACACAATACTAGTGATTAATATTTGAAGATATAAGGCAATATGTTAGAAATAGGTTATAATGGTGTATTCATTCTTTATCTTCCCTTAAATTTCACGTTCCAGTATTACTACATTTTCGAACTATTCTCTTTATTCAGCACTTCTTTTGATCATTGTTACTGCTGACTGACTTCTATTATTTCGACTATACGGCCGTTCACCTTGTTGATTTTATCTCACCGTTTTGATGTAAAGTGCATCTATAAACATGGCTCGGACTAACAGCCTATGACTTCCTAGACTGACTCTGTTTTGGTTCGACCACCCTTAGCTTTCTTCCAGCTGGTTCTTACTTCAGGCAACACTGCATGTTGAGGTAGGCTGTGATGTCCTTACTACCTCGATTAATAAACATTCATAATCCCATCAAATAATTTGCCATCTCTATTTAGTGCCCTGCGCCTAACCACTACAATGGTCATTAGGTCGTTACACAATACATGAGTAATACTTCGTTGGTACCGTTAAGGTAAAACATTTATATTATCATTGGTATTACTAACCTGAAGGATGTAATACGTTATACACATTATTTAGTATTAAGGTTTTATCTCAAATTACCACTGCATATTTATCCATCATACGAGTCTGTAGGAAATATTTCTCAATACGAAGTTAGCTGACGTGTCTCTTGTATATTTCACTGTCTAATGTTCTCTTAAGCGTTCGAGTTTTTCTTCCCGTAGTTGTACAATTGTATTCTGAAGCTACTTTAGTCAGTCCTTTAATTTCTTTATTAATGATACTGTTTGTACTTCATTCAAAAATCATCTGTATGATGTCATCAGCAAGTCTTTTCGGTGTTCAAGTACTTTTTTTAATTTCTTTCGTCTTGTATTAGATTTATGAAGATAGACGTGTGTGCCTCCAGGAATCAGATAATAGTAAGTGCTTTTTCAAAGTTTACATTGACTGGTTGTTGGTATAACGATATTTAACTAAATTTCTGATAGAAATGTTCATAACTGATATTAATTTTTCAACTGATTATAATTCCAGTATGACTAAGGTACATTTTCGAGACTAATTTGTAGCAGTTTTCATCGTCAATATTAAATCAGTTGGTGTACTAGTGATAAACCATGGCGCCCTTGACAACTTTTATGTATCATGCTGAGACTCTTAAGCAGCGCGAATTCGTGACCAGTCAAGTTGTTGTACCTAAGATCTGGTATCATAACTAATGTGTTACCTTTAAACTGTTGAGTTGAAGTCCAATTTTTCGCATTCCTGACTTTAATTAACTGAGGATGTAACTCAACAATCATCCAATGCAAGTGATGATGATTATATCATTCCCGACACTATTGAGCTTCAATGGTAACGATTTCATGAGGATTTATCAAGAGCCCAGAACATATGAAGCTCAAATAAAGTGTTCGGGTGTACACATACGTTTTATCACATTCTAAATTTCAAATGATGTTGTTTCCATTCTCACATGATTCTCCAATGCTTTTTCACAGTATTTATTTATATATTTACAAAATTCACATTTCATCTCTTCATTTTTTAACTCGTTACCGAAATTTATCACTTTTCGGGGTCAAGTCTTAGTGATTAACCATTCTAGTTTTCACTCATGTTGTTTATAGTTACATGAGTGTTGGTGGTGGCGTTAGTGATGAGATCGATGCACGTATAGTGAAAGCCAGAGCGGCTTATGCCAATCTGGGCCATCTTTGGCGCCTTCGTGATGTTAATCTAGCTGTAAAAGGTCGGATCTACAACGCGTCGGTGAGAGCAGTTTTGCTCTATGCTTGTGAAACCTGGTCTCTCTGAGTTGAGGATGTTAGACGTTTCTCTGTGTTCGATCATCGTTGTCTCCGAAGGATTGCTGATATTCAGTGGCAACACCATGTTAGTAATGCAGAGGTTCGGCATTGTGTGTTCGGGCGCAGAGACGATAATTCAATTGGTGTCACCATCTTGAAACACCGACTTCGGTGGCTTGGACATGTTCTACGAATGTCGTCCCAGAGAATTACACGTCGTGCATTATTTGCCGACTTTGAGACTGATTGGAAAAAGCGGAGAGGTGGTCAGTGTATGACATAGTGTCGTGGTATGAAAGAAAGCTACAAAGGACTGGCTTCTGTTGGTCCTTCACGACTCCCTGACTGGGGTACGAGAGATGGTGCAACACAGTGGCTAGAGACGTTATCGGATATGGCTGAGAATAGAAGCAAGTGGCGATCCTGCTGTAACCTTCTTTTACTTTTTTCATAAAGAGTGGTTCTAACTTTCTTAACTGAGAGAGTTCTTCTGGTTGTATATTTCAGTTTCCCCCATCATTACTCTTCTATTTTTTTCATCCTTTTTTTCTTTTATATATACGCATCTTCCCCCCTTATCTTCCCATTCTCATTATTTTGTGTGGCGCATATGTATCTGGTGCCCTTTTGTACCAATATGTATGTATTTAAATAAATAAATAAATAAATAAATAATTGTGGTTCGAACCTCATGCCAAATACAACCGTATGAATGATCGATTAGTACTATTCATTTAATAATTGATTCAATCACTATACTATATCAGCTATTCATACATTTATGTGTATAATTGTCAATCAGTTAACTGACTTAGTGAAAACTATAGTTGTAATTTGCATAAACTTAAACGAAAAAATTGGTTCTATTCATTCATTAGTTTATTTTCCAGGCATATCGATAATGTAGTCTGTCGTTTAAACGTTTCATTTATCATGTTTTTAGTTTAGCTACTATAGATATGCATTATGTATAGGTGTGTTAGTCGTTTCATGTTTTGTATTTCAATGATGTGTTATGTTGAAATGAAAATCATGTGCACAATAGTGACTGGCTTCGAAAGGTAATTCTCGTATTTCTAGTGATATGTCGTGACTGGCGGAGTTCAACTGTGTTGGGTGTGAGGCAGTTACTCACCGACTGAATTTACAGGAATTGATCTCCTACCAGGGGGACCACTAAGCGACTTAGAATACGCAGATGGTGAAGACGCTGGCAAAATGCAGAGTCTTCTGTTGGAACTCAGTAATAATGCCAGGATGTTTGGGATGCGATTCTCCCCATCCAAATGTAAATTGTTACTCCAGGACTGGCCTGCGTCAACACCTGAACTAAGGATAGGGAGTGAAGTAGTCGCACGCGTTGACAAATTCACTTATCTTGGAAGTCTGATCAGCACTAATGGGTTGGTGTCTGACGAAATCTCAGCACGGATTCAAAAAGCTCGTTTGGCTTTTGCCAACTTACGTCACCTATGGCGAAGACGAGATATCCGTCTATCAATTAAAGGACGAGTATACTGCGCATCAGTTCGCTCTGTTCTACTTTACGGCTGTGAAACATGGCCATTAAGAGTAGAAGATACTCGTAAGTTACTAGTATTTGACCACAGATGCCTTAGAAATATTGCTCGCATCTGCTGGGATCACCGGGTAAGTAATAGTGAGGTTCGACGCAGGGTATTAGGGAACGATGGTAAATCAGTTGATGAGGTGATGAATCTTCATCGACTGAGGTGGTTGGGTCACGTGTTACGTATGCATGAACACCGATTACCACGACGCGCTATGATGACTAGTATTGGGGATGGTTGGAAGAGAGTTAGGGGTGGCCAAACTAAAACATGGCATCAGTCCTTGAAGTCACTAACTTCTAGTTTGAGCCATGTTGGTAGATGCAGACTACCTGGTTAGGGTCCGCGTGACTATCGTAACCAATGGTTGGAGACTCTAGGTGACGTGGCTCAGAATCGATCACAATGGCGTAGGTGTATATACTCTTTATCTTCCTTTAAACCTTGAGATTAAAATTGCTTCATAACTTTTTTCCTTTCTATACTATATCCTTATATACAACCTATAATTTATATATACTACCACCACTAAATTAATTAATTCTATGAATCCGGTGTTCATCTTGTTGTGCTAAAGAGGTATGGCAACTTGGACCGATGCATATATGTGCCTTGTCCTACGTTGTAGCTGACTGACTGACTGAGTTACTCACCGAAGAAAATTGAGAATAGTCGCATAATATCGTGGATTGGTTGAAGTCAGACATTAACACCGTTAAATGCCGGCTCATTGGTCGTGAGGTTAAGCGTTCATGTGAGACTCAATTTCTTAGGTTCGAGTCCCGTGTTCAGGATAGTCGATATCCATTGCTGAATAGTCTCATACTAGGACGAAACGACCATCCAGTACTTCCGGGTTCTCAGTGGTGGTCTTATATTGATCAGTTCATGATCTCAATAAAAAAAACACAGTTAATTCATTTCGTTCCAAATTAACTCGACTTATTTGTACTTAAATAATATATCATCTTCGATAGATCAAGGTTGGAATCTGTCATTTGGTAGTTGGAAATCAATTGTTTTCATAGGTGAATCAAAATTCCACTGTGAATGTGATGAATTCAATATGATCAATGATATTTACTTAGTATTGTTTGTTTGGATCTTCCCATTGATGTTTTTAGGACCTCAACTGGTTAGTCTCTAATTGGCATATGTGCATACTGTGCGTATTGCCTCGGTATAGCCTTAATTCACAAGCATGGTAAGTAAAGATGGATAGTGGCTAGCAGTGGAATCCAGTTTCACGCGCGTTTCCTCCTATTCGGGACTCGTCAGTTGGATGTACCTGCATCTAGGAGTTGATGTTCATTCTAGGACTCGAACCCAGTACCTTTCGCTTCAAACGCCATCGTGTTATCCACTCGGTCCCAAATCGGACGAAACGCGCGTCGTGGATTTCACTGCTAGCCAATATCCATCTTTGCTTGCCATGATCAACGATATGTTTTCCAGTTCTTATGTATGCTAACTGGTTATCAAAAAACTAGACAACTACTCGACTTTTTCAAAGAACTCGTATTCAGATATTGATTAAAACTTAATTATTATTAAGGCATATGATTTTTCATTATTGAATTGAAGAACTGGATTGGTCATTCTACCTTTAAAACTAGCCAAAAGTTATATTGCGGTTTTAGTCTGGAAAGGCTCTGTATACGGTTTTCGTTTAGTGACTTGGACCTATTAGTCAAATTTTGATTGTGGAAGAACTCAACTTGGTCGGTGGATCATATACAGGTTATTAACGGGAACTAAACTGTTTTGCTTGCTATCGATCGGCGTATAGCAGCAAAATATCAATCACCAATGCCACTGTTGTTTGTTGGTGTTGGTCACTTGAAGCTTTTAGTGATACCACTTAGAAAAGCCTCATATAAGCATCTGTTTGAGAATTACACTAAATATGAAATGCATAAGTCACTGATGCTCTGCCATTTGTCTGTGTTTGATATGTCACCTTAGGACTAGTAAGCAATCCAATCAGCAGTAAACATCTTGGAGTGATTATTTTCAGGCGATCGTTTAGTATGAATGTCTTAGTCTTGTAGCAGGTAAGTCGTAGCACTAGTAAGTGAGTAGTAACGTCTCAATTTCGTGACAGTACAGATTTGCGTGATTCTCAATCCAGCGTGGAACAACATTTCTTTCAAGATTGCTGATGTGCTTTTCTTAAGCTAATATAAAGCCTAGGTCAATGGTACTCCATTTTTGTATTGGCTGCTTGAATCTTCCCATTGATATTTAGGACTACTATTGATCAGTCTCTTATTGGCATTTATGCATCCTGTGCGAATTGCCTCGATATTACTTTCAGTCACGTCAACTCTAGGATACAGGGACATCCAGCTGACGAGTTTCAATTAAGATGAAACGCGCGTCCTGGATTCTACTGCTAACCACCATCATCCTGGATCAGTGGTGTTTTACTGATTATCTCTCTTCATCAAGTCTTATACATCTACTCAGTTATCCACTTTCTTATTTTGTCTAAAGTTTTCATTATTTTGGTTTTTCCCACCTTTCCTTTTCTAGTTCAATTAAACGATAAAAGTTATGAATTTCTACAAAATTTAATTCATGCCATCGAAAAAAATGGTACGTATATTTGTGTTGTTTAAATGAGTCGTTTACTTCATTCTTATTGGCTGATTAGAAAAGACAATATCTTGTTTTGTCTTAATTATAATGACCTTACATTAACTATTCAATGTATGTTGTATACTGACATTCATCTATTTATGAAGGACGTGAATATCATGATCATTTACATTCTGTTCATACGTCAGTTAAGTCCATATCAGGAATACTTGGTTAATTAGTCGGTTAACTTGTGATGTGTAGTCATATGATCTTTATCTAAGTTGTAGATAGTTTAATATTGAAGTGAATAGAAATGCGCAGGTATTTACGTGTAGATAGTCAATATTATTGAAGTATGACCATGGTTATATTTGGAAAATATACAATGGTCGCTAGGTCTTTTTCTCATTCATAATTTTGCTTCTTGCACTTTGTGTTTAGTAGCTTAAGGGATGTCTAAATATTGTATACCGAGTCATTCAGTGATGCATTATCTATCTAAAATATATGTGAACTGCATTACTAACGTTTTTATGTGAGAAAGTAACTAAAGGTTGTCTAATTAAGATCAGTCTGTGTTGCATCAATGGAAGTTTAAGGTAATTGATTTATCACTCTAGATCATCCTTTCAATTCATTATACTTTATTTTACTTGAGATTTCTTTCTGGTGTCAAAATATGAAAAGGTCATGAGAAGGTTGCACTTGGAAGATATGGCATTGACAACACCTTGAATATTGAGGTAGTTGAAGAGGTTAATTTCTGATGATTTACAGAGATTTTTTAATAAATGAAAATAGAGATAGGATCGATTGATTGACACACACAAGGAGTCATTTTCAAAGTTGATAAAAATGATTGACCGTAAATTTATTCAAAGAGACTTTTCCTAACCTCCATCTGCATATTTATTGGACAGATCACATAGCTACACATATTTTTGTTCCTTTACTCTTCAGACCTATGGTTCGATACAAATCCTTGCTCATACAATCCCAGAAGTTACGTTACTTTTATGTATCTCATTCGCGAAGCTTAAGTTCGTGTGCTTACCTTCAAGCTTCACTTTTTAAAAAAAATTGTTAACTAATTTACTTACTTGCGCTTGTTACTCCCAATGGAGCATAGACCGCCGACCGGCACTCTCCAACCCACTCTGCCCTGGGCCTTCCTTTCTAGTTCTATCCAATTGTTGTTTATTCTTCTCATATCTGTTTCCATTTCTCGGAGTAATGTGTGCTTTCGTTTTCCTCTCCTCCTTTGGCCTTCAGGATTCCATGTGAGAGCTTGCGTTGTGACGCAGTTGGGTTATTTTCTCAATGTGTGTCCTATCCACTTCCAGTGCTTCTTCCTGATTTCTTGCTCCGCTGGGATCTGGTTTGTTGTCTCTCACAGTAGAATGTTTCTGATAGTGTCTGGCCAACGGATTAGTAGTATTTAGAATAAAGAACTGTTGATAAACACCGTATCTTCTGGATGATGACTTTTGTAGTTCTCCACGTCTCCGTCCCATACAGTAGAACTGTCTTGACATTTGTATTGAAAATTCTGATCTTGGTGTTGGTTGACGATTGTTTTGAGTTCCAGATGTTCTTCAGTTGTAAATATTCTGCTCATGCATCGCCGATCCTCGCTTTCACATCTGCATCTGATCCACCGTGTTCATCAATGATGCTGCCCAGATATGTAAAGGTTTTCACATCCTCCAAAGCTTCTCCGTCAAGTGTAATTCGTTTGGTGCATGTTGTATTGTATCGGAGAGTCATGCTTTTCCCTTTGTTTATATTGAGATTTACTGCTGCTGAGGCTGCTGCTACACTGGTCGTTTCTCCTGCATTTGTTGTTGCGTGTGTGATAGAAGAACCAAATCATCTGCGAAGTCTAGATCGTCAAGCTGCATCCTGCCTGTCCACTGTATCCCGTGCTTTCCTCCAGATGTTGACGTTTTCATGATCCAGTCGATCACTACTCCAAAAATTAAACATTTAGTTATTCAATTAAAATAATATTTCATTAAACACTATCACTCGTCGCGTTTTATCTTTTAGGTTCTGGTTTTAAGTTTCAAACATTTAACTTTCTGTTGTTCAGTAACAGATATGAACACCACTCCTCAGCTATCTTGATCAGAGTAGTCGTATAGTATCTTCAGATTGAGATCATGAACCAATCAACGTTGGACAACCATTGCAAACATGGAAGCACTGGGTGGTCATTTAGTTCTAGTATGAGACGCTTCAGCATTGCGCATCTACGATCCCATATACGGCACTCGAACCTAGGACCTTTGTTCTTGCGCGCAAACGCTTAACCCCTGGTATCTTTAAACCTCTCTCTTTCCCACATACTCAAAAACACCATATAAATAACTTTTGGTAATTATGGAATACCTATAGACCGTCGTTGCAAATTTCTAGTGATTTGTATGTGAATCACAAGATCTGATTCTAAATTTTATTGAAAAATTATCTCTCAACTGATACGCTACTTGTTTTAATTAACTTTGTAAACAAATTTTATTGTATTCTCAGTTTTTCTTCCTTTCTTTCAGGTATTCAAGTTGAAGGAATCTATAGAACATGTGGGGTGAAATCTAAAGTTGCCAGTTTAATTAAACAAGCACTATGTAAGTTTTAAAATCCGTTGTCGTAATCGACTTGTTAATGATTGGCATAAATGTATATCAGTTCAATTTATCACATTCGCATCACGAAAAAGTAGCTAGAAAATGAGAATTTTTAGGATGAAGTTCAATTATGTAAGAGGCTTTAAGAAAATACCATGAATAACTTCATAGTCTTCATCTTATGATGCCTCAAAGTGACTGCTCTTGAAAATGTGAAACATTTATATTTCAACTCTGTAGTCTGAGAATGTCACGTAATACTACATCCAACTTTAATGCATGCAACACTTGGCAGGGTCATTGCTTCGAACTTTTATTGCAGCGTACAATATGACAAGAAAAAACTGTTCAATGCTTCCTAATTTTCATAGTTGAAAGCGTGAGTCAATTGAAACTAGACCACCAGGGACGGCCGTTTTGTCCTATTGTGGGACTCCTTAGCAGTGCGCATCCATGACCTCGCCTCGCGAGATTCCAACCTAGGACCTACCATTCTCACGCCAGAGCACTTAATCGATAGACCACTGAGCCGGCATCCAATGGTGTTAATGTCTAACTTCAACCAATCCACGAAGTTTTGAGCAACCGTTCACCAATTGTCTTCAGTAAGTTGATATCTCACAACAGATGTGGTTTGAACTCCACTGGTCACTGCTTCTCACTCTAACTCCAGGATTTACCTCACGAAGTCAGTCACTAGTGAGCATATGATTATTATTATCTCAAAAAAACCGCTTCCTAATTTTTCAATGGTTCTCCAGCTATTATCAAATCAAAATCAAAACTTCATTTTAATTTATGTGACAGCGGAAAATAGATCTATGAAATGTATTTTTACAGTTGAATTCATGAGTTCAATCTAAGATGGACCACCATTCAGAACCTGGAAATACTGGATGGCTGTTTCGTCCTACTATCAGACCCCTCAGCAGTGTGCATCCACGATCCCGCATGCAGAACTCGAAATGAGATTTAGTTAGAAATGCACAAATCATATAACAATGATCATAATATTTAAGATTATGCTAAGCTTGTAATTTAAAGTTTGATAAAAAGTGAATACATCTACGTCGCTGAATCCCTGTCTGTACTGTATTGTAGGACACCTACTGTAGAATATGATTTACTTGGACAGAATTTAACTAAAATTTTAATGAAAACGTGAATATGGTTTTTAAGATTGTGAGGTGGATCTAATAATTTAATGCTGTTTGAGGATAGCGTGTATAGTGTTTCTGTATCTTCAAGAGCGACTGATTTTTCTCACTTTTATTGAGGGACTCGCGTATTATGAAAACAGTTGTAGTCAATAGTTTGCTTATTGATTTATTCGCTTTTATTTTCTATGTCGCCAATGTTTTTCTGTTTTACCAATGATACTGGTTTATGAACCATAACCGAAGACCCTTAGCGTTTATCAGTCATCGAGCTCCTCTTACCAACCCCATTACCCAATCAAAAAACAAAGTTAGAAATTAGATATAATCTCCATATGTACCGTTGTTTATGGCTCAGAATTCATATAATAATATACCTCAAATAACTGATTTCTCAGCAACACAAATAGGAAATTACTTTACATACACGATTCAGTCATAAGTAACTCAAAAATGTCACAACGGTGAAAAATTATTAATGATAAATGGTTTATGAATCAAACTAAATGATAATTGCTATTTACTCATTAGTGACTAGCTTCGTGAAGGAAATTCTTGGAGTTCTAGTGAGAAATCTTGACAAGTGGAGCTAATCCATGACAGGTTGACACAGGTATTTACCTCAATACAATAGAAAATCGTCGCTAAATTTTGTGGATTAGTTGAGGTTAGATATTAACACCATTGGATACCGGCTCAGTGGTCCAGAGGTTAGGTGTGTGTGCATGAAACCGAAGGTCCTGGTTTCGAATCCTACGAGTGGGATCGTGGATGCGCATTGCTGGGGAGTCCCATACTAAGACAAAATAGCTATCCAGTGCTTTCAGGTTTCCAATGGTGGTCTAACATCAATCAATTCATGATCTCGATCAAAAGCGTAATAGTCTCTACAAACCTATACTGAAAGCTTTTAATTAGGTGCATATAAAAATCCAATAATTCAGGCGTTAAATATTTTTTCAATATAAAATACGAATAATAATTCCCTTTAGGATTGTTATATAAGTTCAACCATACTCTAAACTTCTTCCACATAACAAACGTATATTCAGATACTAACTGCCTTACCTTTTCTAATCTCTGCTAATTTTGACTGATCGTGTTATTTATTTGAATTCATTGTTAACTCAGTTAGTCGGTATGTATAACTTTTGTTTGTTATTGTAAGAAAGTATACGTGATTCATACACATGAGAATTTCGGCTTTAGTTTTGAATGAACCACATATGGACTGTGAAATGATTAGTCTTATGTTGGTTAAGTTGACTTTAACTTAAATCTCTTGAATTGACTAGATCAAATCGAATCTTATTTACTGGCTTAAACATTGATATATCAACTCGTATTGATTTGGGTTACATTATAAATGTACTTGATAGAAGTCAATTAATACTTCAAAACAGTACTTGATTACTATCTTATTATTATTATTTAAACACATAAATATTGGTACAAAGAAGCACCAGATACATATGCGCCATAAAAATCTCATTTGATTTGTGTGAGGGCTATGATACTGCTCGGTGCTCAAAATGAAGCAGATGGTTTTCTTAGGGGGCCACACACGGAGCCTTTGACCTAAAGGTCTAGTCCACAAGGCAGTGGAGCATCGTAAGGAGATGCAGTCCCATGGCAGCCGGTGGCCAACAGTTGGTTCATACGCCATTCGTTCCTTCAGGATACTGGATCCCATGTGCACCATTGGTTTGTAATCAAGGTTTTCCAACTCCCCTAGGTGACCAACCCGGTTAAAGCACCGTACATTGGCTTTTCGTCTTCTCAATTTTGTAAACAACAGTAATGCGACTCTGAGAAGGCAGTGAGTAGGACTTCCCTGACAGATGCTATATACGCGTGGCCATGTGAGAGCATTTGGATCAGGAGAGCAGACTCTCTCCACTCTCAGACGTAGCAGGGCATTTGGAGGCTGATTACTATCTAGTTACTGGTTATAGTGTAAACATTTAAGTCCTACTGAAAAGATTGTTTAATATCAACTGATTACAGAGCTTAGTAAAGCATAGTTTAATCTCTGTGAACATATCATTTCATTAAATTGTATGAATGCTATGATACTGCCTCTCGATTTCGTAAACAACACCTCCGCCACGAGAAAGCAATGAGTAGGACTTTCCTGACAGAGGCTGTATACCCGTGGCCGTGTGAGAGGATTTAGAGAGGGTAGGCGGGCTCTCCCCACTCTTGGCTATATTAGGGTATTTGGGGGCTATGAACATATTACTCTCTTGAGTTTTGTAGATTATTTTCAACTAATACAAAGCCTCATCTTAGAGCTTCTTTACTAATTGTTTCATAGTGATAGAGATAGATAACGCAAATATAAGGCAGATGAAGAGGGGATTATTCAATTGTTTAATAGTTTACTATTTACCTTATTGATATGTGAAAGATTGATGTATAGATAGTTCATTACTTCTTCAATCAAACTAGATTCAGTCAAATGTAATTGTATAAATAATCATTTGATATTCGAGTATATCTAGGCCACTGATCCACGTATACATTTGAGTCATTGTTCGTAAAAAAGAGAAAACAAAATATTTCTAGTATCATGGTTTAATTATTTTATAGTTGAAATCATGAGTCAATTGAAGCTAGACCACCATGGAAAACCTGGAAGCACTTGATGGATGTTTCGTCCTGTTATGGGCTCCTCAGCAGTGCGCATCCACGATCCCGACTTAGTGGTTCTAGAGGCTAAGCGCATGCGAGTGAGGCTTATAGGTCCTGGATTCGAATTTCGCAAGGCGGGATCGTGGATGCGCACTGCTAAGGGGTCCCACAACAGGACGAAACTGCCGTCCAATGCTTCCATATTTTCCATGGTTATCTAACTGCAATTGGCTCATGACTACAACTATAGAATTTCTAAAATCTCCACAAAACCCCTTCTGATATCTTATTATTCTTTAATTTTAATGCATATCTCTCAAGCTCCATCAGGAATATCCAAGGCAACTTTGTCAAATTATGAATTATGCGTTTTAACTGGTGCATTGAAAAGTTTTATTCGACAATTAGAAATTCCTATTATGACATTTCAATTACATGATTCTTTCATGTCTGCAATGAGTAAGTGGTTGATCTCCTTTTTTAGTGATGGGTAAACCGTTTATTATTGTTTTTTTGTGGGGCCATGATCTGACTCCGAATTGGACGAATGTATGAATATGTTATGAACATAAATCTTCCATTTAATCCTGTATATTGCTTAGACTAAACCCGTTTGTGTGACGGCAGTAATACGAAGCGTGAGTCAATTGAAGCTAGACCACCAGGGAAAACCTGGAAGCACTGGACGGCCGTTTCGTCCTATTGTGGGACATCTCAGCAGTGCGCATCCACGACCTCGCCTCGCAAGATTCGAAACCAAGACGTACCAGTCTCGCGCCCGAGCACTAAACCGATAGACCACTGAGTCGGCGTCCCATGGTGGTTATGTCTAACTCCAACCAATCCACAAAGTTGAGCAACCGTTCATCAATTGTCTTCAGTAAGTTGATATCTCACAACAGACGTGGTTTGAACTCCACTGGTCACTGCTTCCTACTCCAACTCCAGGATTTACCCCTTGAAGTCAGTCTAGTGCTTCCAAGTTTTCCTTGGTGGTCTAGCTTCAATTGACTCATGCTTGCAACTATGAAAATACTAAATCTCCACAAAACCCCTTCTGATGATATTCAATGAATTAATGATTGTTTCATATGAATTTTGTATTGTGTTTATTAACTACACTATTCTTCTTGTTGCTTATTGTTTTCTCAATTTTAGAACGAGATAATGCTTATCGATTAACAGAACTTAGCGCTTTATTAAAATTGTTGCCACCAGAAAATCAACGTACTTTAGATTTACTGATTAAACATTTATCAAGGTTTGTTAATTGTTGTTGTATCTCTTGTAGACAAGCAAACAAACAAACTATTCCTTTTTTTATGGTTATCATTACCATAGTTTGATTTGATAATTTTTAATGACTTCAGTAGTAAGTACTTGCTAAGACTTACATGTGTTACTCCTCGTGGAGGAGTATAGGCCGCATACCGGTAGAAAGTTAATAGATGACGGAGATTATTTACTACAAGTTGAAATAATGAATAAGAATGGGGAAGAATATTTTGTTCAATCAAAATCAAAGTATATCTGATTATATTAATATCATGTCATTATGGTCAACGTAAATCTATGTGTGACATTACTGTTTAGATATAAAAAGTAAAAAAAAATTGTCGTCAGTCAGCTAAAACGTAGGACCAGGCACATATATGCATCCGTCCAAGTTTCTACACTTCATTAGCACAACAATATGATCAACATATTCATAGAAGTAGCTTATTTAATGGTGATAGCATATAAAAGAAAGATTCCATATAAGAATATGATACAGGAACAAAGAATTAGTTCTTAGAAAGAAGGGTATAAAGTGATTTTAATCTCACGATCTAAGAGAAGACGAAGATTGTATACGCCTACGCCATAGTGACCGATTTTGAGCCATGTCACTCAGAGTCTACAACCATTGGTTACGATAGTCGCGTGGACCCCAACCAAATAGTCTGCATCTACTAACATGACTAAGACTAGACGTGAGTGGCTTCAAGGACTGATGCCACGTTTTGGTTTGACTGTCCCTAACTCTCATTCAACCATCGCCAATACTAGTCATCATTGCGCGTCGTGCTAATCGTGTAGCGAACAAAACACTAGTTGGGGACAATCGAATGTATTTAAGCAAACATTACAGACTATCTCGGTAAATTCTGATAACCAAACAATGAACAGTCAATTTGCAAATTAATAACCAATTGTTTCAATCTTCACTGTTTCTTCTCTAATTCCATTGCTCATGCATTTTCCAAACGATTGCGCTTCATTTCAGTTCTTTCCTCATCGGTCTTCTGCCAAAATACATTCTATGTCTGACCCACGCCATATACTACTTATATGGATATAAGTAGACAACACCACAATCGGTGTTCAAAGTTGCATAACACGTGGCCCAACCATCTTAGTCGATGAAGATTTACAACCTCATCAACTGATTTACCATCATTCCCTAATACCCTGAGTCTAATCTCACTAATACTTACTCGGTGATCCCAGCAGATGGTGGGATTTATGCTTGTGTGCGTGTGTATAGACTGTTTGAGAAATGAACAGATTTAAGCGTGGTTGTTTGGATAAACAATCCATGTCAGTTGAATAGTTAGTTCCTGTTTTCCTTTGAATCAGAGGGATGTTTTAGCTACTCGCCATTCTTTATAGTTGGTTAAACCTTTCTGAATCATTTTAAATCCTAATCTACTTATTATATTATCTTTTCCCTTTTGCTTATCTGCTTCTGACATAGCTTTTCTGAACGGATTCAGAATCAGGGAACTTTCCCTTTGAATGAATGTGCAGATTATAAATTAATAACATATCTATTTGAATATGTCGGTATTCGGTATATGGTAAAGTTTAGATTTTCATTAGAATTCCTTCTAACTAAAATAGTTCAAGTACTGGTATTCTCACTATGTTCATCTTCCTTTTCTAAAGTGAATTTGATGTATGGATAAGTTTCTATGGAGAGTCTTTTTAGTGATGATAAATATATCATTTACTTATCTTAGTCAATACGTGGTTTGATGGGACTGATGAATGTAATCAACTCATTATGAGACATATATAAACTAGCAACAGTCAAAGACACTGTAGATGTTGTTTCTACGAAGTCACGAAACATCAGAAATTCATCACAAATTTATTATTATTCTATCATCAATCTATTCCTTCGTTTCATCTATTAATTCGTCTAAAATAATCTTGTCTGAATTTTTTTCAGATGATGGACTATTCACCAAAATATGCGACCCGAATAGCTCAGTGGTAACGTCTCTGACTGTGAAGCTGAGTGACACGGGATCGAATCCGGATCCAGGGTTTCCTGTTGACCACCTCCAACCACCATCTTACCTCAATATATATAGTGCACGCAGTGTCGAGCCACCTAGACTGGTGGCCACATTGCAACTCGATCGATAGAATTCGATCATCACTAAGAATGACTTGACACTCATGACATTGATCACCACCCAGTGATCAATCAATTGTAAAATACAACTATCGTATTGACCACTGAGTAAGTGATGGCTAGGTTAGACATAGGTTTCTGGTGAAAGGTGAAAATTCAGTCGGTGTAGTTGTAAATCTTTATCGACTTGTTTTGTTAGGACATGCGTTGCATATGCCTAACCACCGCCTATCTCGATGAGCGCTTCTTACTGATATGGGATTAGATTGGAAAGAAGCTAGCGCCAGCTAAACCAAGGTATGGCATTGGTGCATGAAGTCATTGACTGTTGTTACGCGTCATATTAATAGATGCATACTACCTTGTTGAGGTCTGCGCGATTATTGATCGGAGACTTTATGTAACATGGTTTAGAATCGTACGCCATGGCGCAGATGCATTAAATCTGTCTTTTCTTAGATTTTAATTTTTTTTAATATTCCCCTTTTTACTCTGGGAACTCATAAAAAAAATCTCGTGCTCTTGATCTGAGTTGTATTGAAGCCTGGTCGAATAGTCCTAGTCGGGTATCTAGTAAGGAGCGAGTGAAGTGTGTATGCGGATAGACCATTCACTGCTTATTCTGATCAAATTAGTGTAAAGAAGAAATACAAGCGCTCTTTCTGTATCTATCACTTCACATTCCTATTATTCTAGTGTTTATTCATTCTTGTCATCATACTAATCCCTTCTACTATGACAGGTTGATATAGAGTTCATCTCTGCCAATCAGCAATCTAATTCTTCTTGTTCAAAGCCTCAAGTGAAATACTAGTAGCTAATACCTAAATGTTACACGAAACTCATAAGCTATTCAAATTTATGAGAACGTACAAACTATTGTAAATCTAGCGGTTAGGATTCCTGGCTTTCACCCAGGCGGCCCGGGTTCGACTCCCGGCACGGGAGCCTAGCCCCCAAATGCCCTGGTACGACCTAGAGTGGGGAGAGTCCGCTCTCTCTCTCGAAATGCTCTCACACAGCCACGCGTATATAGCCTCTGCCAAGGAAGTCCTACTCACTGCCTTGTCGTGGCGGAGGTGTTGTCTACGAAGTTGAGAGGACGAAAAGCGAATGTCCGGCGCTTTAACTGGGTTGGTGGACACTGCGAGTTCACCTAGGGGAGTTGGAAAATCCTGATTCCAAACCAATGGTACACATGGGCTCCAGTATCCTGCTGAGGGAACAAATGGCATATGAATCAAACGTTGGTTACCGGCTACCGTGTGACTGCATCTCCTTACGATGCTCCTGCACTGCCATGTGGATCAGATCTTTATGTCAAAGGCTCCATGTGTGGTCCCCTAAAAAAACCATCTGCTTCCGTTTGGGCACCTGGGCAGTATCTCAGAACTCACATAAATTAAATGAGATTTGTGTAGCGCATATGTATTCGGTACCCTTTTGTACCAATATTTATGTGTTCAAATAAATAAAATAAATTGTAAATCTTCCTTGTATATATCTATATATATTCGTATAAATCTAATACCTAGTTTTCTTTTTTCTTCTGCTTTCTGTTGTAAATGATTACAAATACACACAATTGTTCTAATATACAGCGTTGCTGCATATAGTCAAATGAATCATATGAATCCAAGTAATCTAGGCATTGTATTCGCGCCATCATTGTTTCGTTCACGTGAAGAATCTGTCGCTGCAATTATGTCAACAAAATTTGCTTCAACTGCTGTTGAATTAATGATTATTAATTATTCAAGTTTATTTCCAATACATTCATCGAATATTTTTCGACCAATACCTCAATTACTCTTGCCATTATCTACCATTCCGGTTGTTATGGATGATAGAAATGGTACTATGAGCGAAAGTATCAATACTACTCGTTATTCTGTCAGTAGTATATTTGATAATAATAATAATAGTACTCCTACTAATATGAGTAAATATAACCATATTAAGAATGGTCAAAACTCTATAGAACCAGTGTATACTACACCGCTTATTAGTTATCCTTTTCAGTTAACTAGTAAGTTCAGTGTTAGAACGAATGGATATTCTGTTTTTTTTTTGTTTACATTTTTTTTTAATTTGAGCATTCATTATTCAGTTTATCAATTTGTAACTACGCTTACCTAACTGCTCTAAAACTCCCTTTGTATTTGTATGAACGTGGACTAAACTTGAAACTAAGTCTTCAGAATTAACCTCTGTACCATTTTTATCGAAGAACTATGACATGAAAGCATAACTATAAACCAAAGTTGCATTTCGGTTGATCATCAAAATGTATTTCCTTTTCATAAGGTGGTCATAAGATTCTTTACTAAACAGAACTATATCGTCTGTGTATTCTAAGTCAGACGATGAAAGTGTCATCTCTAAAAGCCTGTCTATGACAAGGGTAAATAAAAATGGGGAGAGCGGATAACGCTGACGAACACCACTTGAAGTAACTAATTCCGATGATAGTTCTCTAGAAGCTCTGAATTTACCAGAAATGTTCGAGTACAAGGTTAGTTTACTTCTTTAGTACGCCTATCAACGGTAGATACTGTCATAGATCCTTACAATCAATGGAGTCGAACGCCGCCTTAAGGTCAGAGAATACAACTATAACTGAACTCTGAAAAGCATTTCTATTTTCTTTCCTCGGTTCGCTCACCATGAGCTCTAATTAAACGTCAAAGTCTTATTGAGGCTAATATTTGATACTATAATAGTTACTGATTCCTTTGTGATTTTTATATTAAGGATTTTGTCCTTTCTTATAGACTGGGACAATCAGCGATAAAGACCAGTCAGATAATTTTACATTAAGTTACCAAATCTTAGCTAAAATTTCAGTTAATCTAGTTGCTAAAACTGGATCATTATCCTTAAAAATCTCAGAAGTTAGTCTATCAGATGCTGCAACCTCACATCAGTTTGCTATTCTGGTTGCTTGGAGATAGTGGGTAACTAAAAGTGTGGCTGAGTGCCAGTCAAACTATTCCTTGAAGTGTTCTGCACATCGGTCCAACCTCCTAAATTGAATGAATAGTAGTCCCGTCTTTTTCTGAAATAGTTTCACCAATAGCTGGATCTTAAATACCTATTTCCTTGGTACGTCTGAACAATTGTCTAATGTTACCTATCCCTACTGTCTTTGCCATCCCTTCTGATTTCTCTACCTAGCAAGTTTCGCGATCATTGCATAGGCCTTTTATCAGCCTACCCTTAAGCCGGCTTTTGCTACCCATCGTTTTCAGAGCCAGATGGGATGTGTGTCTAATCATCTGTCAGTGCTGTAAACACCACTGAAACCAACTGATTTTCCATAACCTTTTGAATTAAGTTAACAGTATATATCACCACTTTTTCCACAGCATTTTGGAAATCACGACAAGCTACCTTGGGGTGGATATCATTTTCACTCCTCTAATTGTTTCTGAAGTATATTCCTAACCTTTTTGCATTAGGCTGGACTATAAGGGGTTTTCATACTGTGGTTATTCGATGTGCAGTAAAACGCATACAAATACGTGCTCGAACTAGAGCATTATCCGAGTCTAGAAATGTGCTCAAAAATGAGCGACGATCTTCATTTGAACCCCTCAAACGATGGCTTGTGAAAATGTGGTCAAATTGAGTCCGTTCTTGAGTAAATTATGGAGGTCGTCGTCAGACAATGTTCCTCCTGATGTTTAAATTTAGCGTTTGCGAGAAATAGTCATTTGAACACAGCTTCAACAGGTGGTCTCCATTATCCGTTCTCTTAGCCGCTACACAGTAAGATTCGCCCAAGTGCCTTTCTGTTTGGTTTATTCCACCTGTTTGGAGATCGAAATCACCTGTCACTATTACTATATCAGAACGTTTAGCTTTTCGAAGGGGGTTGGAAAGCTTTTTATAAAATTCATCTTTAACTTCATCTAAGCTGTACTCAGTGAGATCATAGACAAAAAGAACGAAAAGGCGACGGTGTATTTCCTTATCTTTCTGAGTACTTACTGTCCCGTTTATTTGAATAGCGCACAAGCGACTGTCTATTAGAAACTACACTAGCAGAGTCTGCTCTGCTTTAGAACCTAATACTATACCTAAACCTATGAGGCCTCGGACCGAAATCTGTGGGATAAGAAGAGGTGTGACATTTTTAGGGTCGACTTATTCTAACCCTTTCCTTCTGTTTTGAGAAGACAGCATCACTCCAGATGCTGTTTGTCCGACAGAAACACTTTACTGTTGTCACACTCCCTCTTCAGTCAATAGTACAACTTCGATCCTGGACCCTAATTTGCTACTTTTAGTCTTACCATTCTACAACTGACCTGCCTAGCATAGTTGGACCCAAAGAAAACATGTGTTCCAGCCAATATTTTTCGGTTGTGTCATCACAATAGACAAGTCCAACCATCACGTTAAGGTAGTAGCTACGGTCGGTTAAAATAATAGCAGTATCGGCCATGAAATCCACCGAAGCTATTGCGTCATCGAGTCAACATCATACGGAACTCCTATGATGGACTAAACTGCCAAATCGTCCACGGAGGACAACTCACCGACTCGTTCGAGGTAAAGACCGGTGTTAGGCAAGGTTGCCTACTCTCACCCTTTCTCTTTCTCCTGGTGATCGACTGGATTATGAAGACGTCAACATCTGGAGGAATGCACGGGATACAGTGGACAGGCAGGATGCAGCTTGACGATCTAGACTTCGCGGACGATCTGGCTCTTCTATCACAAACGCAACAACAAATGCAGGAGAAAACGACCAGTGTAACAGCAGCCTCAGCAGCAGTAGGTCTCAATATAAACAAAGGGAAAAGCAAGACTCTCCGATACAATACAATATGCACCAATCCAATTACACTTGACGGAGAAGCTTTGGAGGATGTGGAAATCTTTACATATCTGGGCAGCATCATTGATGAACACGGTGGATCAGATGCAGATGTGAGAGCGCGGATAGGCAAAGCAAGAGCAGCATACCTACAGCTGAAAAACATCTGGAGCTGAAAACAATTGTCAACCAACACCAAGGTTAGAATTTTCAATACAAATGTCAAGACAGTTCTTCTGTATGGGGCAGAGACGTGGAGAACTACGAAAGCCATTATCCAGAAGATACAAGTGTTTATTAACAGCTGTCTACGCAAGATACTTCGGATCCGATGGCCAGACACTATCAGCAACAAGTTACTGTGGGAGACAACAAACCAGATTCCAGCGGAGGAAGAAATCAGGAAGAAGCGCTGGAAGTGGATTGGGCACACTTTGAGGAAATCACCCAATTGTGTCACAAGACAAGCCCTCACATGGAATCCTGAAGGTCGAAGGAGAAGAGGAAGACCAAAGAACACATTACGCCGAGAAATAGAGACAGACATGAGAAGAATGAACAAGAACTGGAAAGAACTAGAAAAGAAGGCCCGGGACAGAGTGGGTTGGAGAAAGCTGGTCGGCGGCCTATGCTCCATTGGGAGTAACAGGCAAAAGTAAGTAAGTAATTGCGTCATCGGCAAATATGCAGTGGATTTCCTGATAGTCGTGAAAAACCATCATGTTTTTTCAATGAAATCCGAGGAAATATCCACCTCCTGTGTCAGTAGCGTTTAATCACAGATGCAAAATATCGTATATGGTAATTTGTTCCTATTTGTCTTTCAGCGTTGACACCATCCCATTACTTTCAAAGCTCTCATATGTTGAGACTATCTAGTTACCGATGCTGAAATTAAGTTCAGAGTACTAGGTTATTGTTATTGTTATAATTCTTTATTGACTGAGATGGTCGGTGTTCTGTTGTATGGTCAGCTAAACTTCTCACCTCGGTGAAGTACGATGTTTACTGTTGTAAGAAATTGAAGGAGGCAGCCATACCCGAGGTATTGCCATGTTGCTAGGTTTAAACTATCAATTTGAATATCTTATGAAGTCCTTATGTAGTGAATGAGAACACAGGTGAGGACAACCAACCATGCATTAAGCACAAATTACAACGTTGCTTGATAAAATACAAAAGCCATACTCTGATACTCTATTTGCAAAATGTTCTTTAGTTGTCTCAGGCCTCATTGTTCCTGGATTTCCACACCAATTGCTTTTCATTTCTGTTCTTTTCTTCTTGATTTCCTCAATCTTATGCTGTCAGATATTCTATTCCTTACTCACGACATATACTACTTATATCGTTATAAGTAGCCCACACCACACTTATAGTTGAAGAACTCATTGTTTTTATTATTTGTAAATTCATAATTCTATACTATTGATTATTGGTATTCATCATAGTATCGTAGTATGTAATAATAATAGTAGCTTTCTAATTCTTTATTCCACTAAATGATCTAACTCGCTTTCATCTCTCTCCGCCATAAACATTATCAAAAATATGCTGGGGGTTCTTTTTTTAAAATCATTTTAACTTTAATCTATGGTTATCATAATCACTATGGTGATTCCACCATCTAACTCATCAACAAAGTTTTTCCACTTGTATATCATAATAATACTTACTTACTTATGCCTGTTACCTCTCGTCGAAGAGCATAGACCAGATCATAATAATAGTTAAAATTATTTTGCCTTTTTTGTTTAAAGTTCACAATGTTAATTTTAACTCACACCTAAAGTTTATCCTTTTTATACACACTGTATAGATTCAATAATGGATCGGTAGGTTTAAGTTTTATTATAAGTAGTATATGGTATATAAGTAGTAAACAGTTTTATGCTTCTTTTATGGTTATTTTCTATGTGCACTTTTGCTAATGGCTTTTTAATTACTAGCCATTTTCTTACATGTTAAAAATAGCATGTTTTTTTATCTGTATACACATACACAATTTTATGAGTTTCTTTTATGGCAAAGCCACTCACTGCCTTCTCGTGGCGGGGGTGTTGTTAACGAAATTGAGAGGACGTAAAGCGAATGTCCGGTGCTTTAACTGGGTTGGGGGACACTGTGAGTCCACCTAGGGGAGTTGAAAAACCCTGATTCAAAAGCAATGGTGCAAATGGGCTCCAGTATCCTGAGGGAACAAATGGCGTATGAACCAATTGATGGTCATCGGCTACGATAGGACTGCATCTCCTCACGATGTTCCACTGCCTTGTGGATCAGACCTTTATGTCAAAGGCTCCGACTGTGCCCCCCTAAGAAAAACACCTGCTTCAGTTTAGGCACGTGGGCAGTATCTCAGCCCTCACACAAATCTCATTCGATTTGTGAGGCGCATATGTATCTGGTGCTTCCTTGTGCCAATATTTATGTGTTTAAATAAATAAATAAAGCATAAGATCATTTTTTATGATGGTAGTTTCTATCCATATCTGGGATTACTATGAAATGGATCATGCTAGAGATAATGTTGCACCGAACGGATGTTTTATTTTGAGCTTGAAGGTATCCATCCTTTGTATGGCGTTTTAACTTGGTTAAAGAAGAGCTAAAATTTTACTACAAGAAGAAGAAAGTCTTCCTACGTTGTCCGTCCGATAAACACATGAGCTAAACTATCAAGCTTAGCTTTGGATGTTGATGATTTATTGCAATGCACTCAGTCACCCATTGGATTGAGTCTGTATTATCACAGTCGTCTGTATTTATCAGGCTTGTAATAGTTAAGATTTATAGTTTCTGTCGTCTATGTAACAGGTATTCCAATAGAGATTCTGAAATTTTCATTTTACAAAATGTAGGGTGGTTTAACCATCACGTTAGATCATTTTCTCTACTTGCCAAACTTGCCCCATTGCAGTTTTATTTTATTTTGAATTGCGGAATGGGTATGTAAAGTATCTACATTGTTCTTCGATTCGATCTAGACACTGATGCACACTGCATCACTTACACAATCAGCTACATTCAGAGAGGAAGATGGAAACTGCGTATGTATCCTTAATTTCACCAAAAGCTAAATAATCATTCTTACAACTGTTTTGTGTATATAAGTTGTGAGTGACTCAGCCACAAACATGTGAATGTGAGATTTGAGTAGATGAATAAGTTATTTACCGTGACCCCTCCACACACACACACACACTCACTTTCACCTTACTCACCATGTAATCTTGAAACAGCACATTATGCGTCTGGGATTTCCCGTAAAACCTCAAAACTAAAACGACAAAACAACTGTAGACTGTAATTTTTAGAAATTCCGAAGGATGTTTTGTACAATAAAAACGGAAATATGATACGCGTATTCCCACAAATAAGAGGGTGGGATATTTTGAAGAGAATAAATTTGATATACTCTAGATTTTGAGAAGTGTCAGTCAGTCAGCTACAACGTAAGACCAGGCACATTTATGCATCGGTCCAAGTTTCCATACCTCGTTAGCACAACAAGATGAACTCCGGATTCATAGAAGTAGTTAATTTAGTGGTGGTAGTATATAAAAGATAGATTGTATATGAGGATATAGTACAGGAAGGAAGACAGATATGAAGCAATTTTAATCTCAAGGTTTAAAGGAAGATAAAGAGTGTATACACCTGTGCCATTGTGATCGATTCTGAGCCATGTTACCTAAAGTCTCCAACCATTGATTACCATAGTCATGCGGACCCCAACCATGTAGTCTGCATCTGCCAACATGGCTCAAACTATAAGTTAGTGACTTTTTGGACTGATGCCATGTTTTGGTTTGGCCGCCCCTAGCTTTCTCCCAACCCATCCCCTACACTAGTGAAGTGAGGTTTTCATGATCTCGTTTCATGCATTTATTGGACAGATCACAGTACTTTATCCAATGATAATACCTACATAACCATATTCTATCTGTTATTCTGCTTGTCAATGTTTATTGCCCAAAACTATTTGTGCTTATGCGTTTGTAATTGTGTGTATGCTTGCACTATGCTATTAATTTCTGCTTTTTATGTGGCTTAATTAATTTAACATTTTGCATGCGTTCCTTTTTTTGATTTCTATGACTGAAGTGACCGATTAGGCGCTTCTTATATTGAATTCAAATAAGAGATATAAACTATCAAATGGCTTATTTGTGTAACCATTTACAATAGTAGAAGTTTGTTAGTTTAGAATCGAGTCATTGACTTCGCTTGTTTGTTTGTTTTTTGCTCATGTGGCATGTGCTCCCAAATGCCCTGGTACGGCCGAGAGTGGAGAGAGTCCGCTCTCCCTCTCCAAATGCTCTCACATAGCCACGCGTATACAATCTCTGCCAGGGAAGTCCTACTCACTGCCTTCTAGTACCGCGAGTGTTGTTTACGAAATCGAGAATTCGAAAAGCGAAGGTACGGCGCTTTAACAGGGTTGGTCGACACGGAAAGTCCACCTATGGGAGTTGGAAAACCCTGATTCCAAACCAATGGTGCACATGAACTGGCTCCAATATCCTGCTGAGGGGACAAATGGGGTATAAATCAATTGTTGGTCACCAGCTACCATGGGACTGCATCTCCTCACGATGCTCCTGCACTGCCTTGTGGATCAGATCTTTAGGTCAAAGGCTCCGGGTGTTGCCCCCTAAGAAAGCCACCTGCTTCAGTTTAAGCACCCGAGCAGTATCACATCCTTCACACAAATCAAATGAGATTTGTGTGGCACATATGTATCTGGTGCTTTGTTGTACCAATATTTATGTGTTTAAATAATAATAATAAAACATGAAATAACATTAATTGGACATTTGAGATTTAGCAAATTCTATGACACTATTGACTTAAACATTTTGAATGTACACAAATTGGCATACTGAAATGTAATAATCAATTAATATGTCTGTAGCATATCACTGTTTTATACTTTCAACATTTATAATGACCAACAACACTTGTGGTGCGAGAAGGCAGTGAGTAGGACTTCCCTGGCAGAGGCTATATATTCGCGTGGCCATGTGAGAGCATTCGGAGAGGGAGAGCGGACTCTCCTCGCTCTCGGCCGTACCACGGCATTTGGGGGCTTTGATATGGATTTGTATTCAATGTCTTTACAATTTTATGAAAATTTTCATCTTATTTTTAAATGGTATGGAGATTTTAAATGCCTTAATATGTTTTATACATATGTGATCTTTTTATAGTTTGCCATCTTTAAGTATGCTATATATTTTGGTGTAGAATAGTGAAAGGCATAAAACTTCGTCTGTAAAGTACATTTGTAGTTTTGAAGGAACTGATGCCCCCCTTTGGAGTTACACCAATTTAGAAGCTTTGTTTTTCACATATTGACCTCATTTGGAGTGTTGCTGTGTTATGTCATTGTCGTTCACTGATATCACATGATAAAACCAACCAGTCAGAGTATCGATTTCTGTGACTTTATACCTAAGCTAACCAATGACATGTCAAACAGCACTAGTACCTTCGAATTACTGCTTAGTCCTTATTGATCATCTTACTTTCCTTGTCCTGACTATTGAGTCCAGAACACAGTAATGAGCCTGAACTATACGAATATCATATTTCAAGCATATGTACTTTATAGATAGAAATACTTAATCACATCACACTAGAAAATAAAAATTATTTATGATCAAGTCAAAAAGTGACTGTGAGTATAGGTGACTATAAACAATAAACTAGCAACAGATAAAGAGTAGTATATCATGCAGCAATGGTCAGTGGGCTGATGAAAGGAATATATACATATGCATAGTTACTTAATTATACACTAAGAATACGTATACAATAATAGTCCATAAATTTGTTCTGGAAGTTACTATTCTTTTAGTCTTTGTTTGAATATAAAACGATGAAAATTCGGAATCACTGAATAGCTGTTTTATCTCAGCATGTAACTCCTCAGCAGTGCTCACTCATTAACAGGCCAACGACCAAACTTTCATATCATTAGTAGAATCACTGAGTCAGGGTCCAATTGTAAAATTACAATTAAAATTAGTTTTCAATGAAGCAGAGGAATCCCGTACGAAGAGAAAGTAGCTTTTTGGTGTTTTGTTTTTCACTAATACCTCAACTGAGATCATTCTGTAATGATTGCAAACTTGCCTCAGTTATGACGTAGGCGAGATATCTGTCTAGCAACCAAAGGACGGGTTTACTTCTCAGTAGTTCGTTCCGTCCTACTTTATGACAATGGAAAGTGGCTAGTAAGAGTAGAGGATATTCGTAGGCTACTTGTGTTCGATCATAGATGTCTTCGAAGTATTGATCATATATCCTGGGACCACCGAGTAAGTAATGCAGTCGTTAGGAAACAGGTATTAGGTAAGGATGGCAAATCGATTGACGAAGTAGTGAAGCTTCATCAGTTGAGATGGTTGGGACACGTGTTACATATGCCCAACCATCGACTGCGCCGACGTGCGATGTTTTATGGTGTAGGAGTAGATTGGAAGAAAGCTAGGGGCGGCCAGACCAAAACATGGCACAAATCCATGAAGTCACTGACAATTGAACTGAGCCATGTTGGTAGGTGTATACTATTTGGTTGGGATTCGCGAGATGATAGTAATCGATGGTTAGAGACCTAGAATGACATGGCTCAAAATCGTTTGCAATGGCGAAGGTGCATCCACTCATTATGTTCTCCCGAATTCTAATCTGAATTCTTTATGTCTCTATCTTTTTTTCTGTTTCCAAATTTATTTCACTGTATTATACTCCTCGAATAACATCTTCAAACCCTGATCTTTCCGACTACTGCTTATACTCTAACTACTTCTATCACTATGGGATTTGAATCGATAACTGCATCTCTGTGCTAATGTGGTATGGCACCTCGAACTGATATATGTACGTACGAATTTCTACGTTGTGACTGACTGATTGCAATCTACATGTTGATATTTCACTAAATCCACAGTGATCGATTCCAACGAAGAATTCAACAACCAAAAAATGTAAACCATCCTCTATCTTTTGTAGTTTACTTTAGTCATTGGCTTTCCAACTGACAAAATATGGCTCAAAACCTTTACGTAGTTAGTCAACTAAATTGTATATATTCCATTGTTTCCTAAACTTCTTATATACATATTTTTTTTTAAACTAATATCATTAGATCTGAAAACATGTTCACTTCGTCCAGTAATGAAAACTACTCATCTCAAACATCTTTACAATCGATTAAATCATCATCTACATTTACATCTTCCATCACAACAACAACACCACCAACAACAACAACAACCATCACCACTAGAACCAATTCACAATCATTCAAAAGTTTATCAAGTCTCCCAATCGCATTACAAATTGTCCATGACAATGAATACATTATTAATCAATACGAACAAAATTCAATAAATGATAAAATTTTAAATCATTCACTTCATCATCATCATAATTCTTTGTCAGTTACATCATCATTATCTAATCATAATAATCATTTAATTGAACCATCATTGAAATCTCGTATATCACCGCAACGTAACAGGTAGTTATTTTTGATGGTAATAATCATAACAATGAACATTAGTTTTGTCAATAGTTTACCTTATGGTCAATGGTTTAGGTCCTTAGTTGTTGGGAAGTTTACGTCTAGTTTAGAGGTGTATTGTTATCACAATAGGGGGAAGTGAATCGACGAGCAAGAATGGGGAATTTGAGCCCAAACGTCTAGTAAAAAGATATGACCGGTCGTGGTGTTCAACCTCGTTGATAGTGAGATAGCTTATCATGGGATTAAATAATATTGGACTACACCCCAAATCAATCAAAATTGAAAGTGTGAATCATTCGTTCTCAGCTCATTGTTACTAAGATCAACCATTCTTCATTAATTGACATAGTGATAAGTTAAGAAGGATAATGGTTGAGTAATTGGGTTACCTCACGCGTCTTTCGTGATACTCAACCAGACGTCAAGTTGGATTGTGCACATAAGTGAGTAACTAAGTGAGCACACAAGTTTTAACCGTAAGTGGTGGTGGAGAAGATTTGTAGCTAAGGCGGTCGATTTTAACTAGTGTTAGCCAACTTTACTATCCGTCAACTATGATTATCGCTCTAAGCTCAACCAAGTAGTTTGCACCTGCCAACATGTCGTACTCCAACAATTATTGAATTTATGAACTATTACCATGTATTAGTTCGATCGCCCATTGCTTTCCTTCAACCTAATTCTATGCTCGTCAGCTGTATGCTCCGCTGTAGACCATTATTACAATGCTATTGGTGGATGGAAATTAAATTTCATGGTTTTTGTAGTAGTTTTCTTAGAAAATTTGTTTATTTTGAGCAAAAACGTTTGTTCAGTCCGAACCTCCCAATTCATTTCGTTGCATCACAATCTTTTAGAAAATCTCCTGCACCACCACCTCCACCTACTTCAGCAAAGTATGTAAATACAATCCCAGTAAGAAGTCTATCAACAAAACCTACTACATTGTCACAAACTCCTGTCACAACGACAATCAAAGAAACTGCCACTACTGCTGCCAGTGCTTTGAACCATGAAGATCTATCCTCTCATAATCACTCTGATGAATGTAATAATTTTAGTATTGAATTCGATCAAACATGTGTACCGTCTATGTCTTCTGAATAACACTATTTGAACTGCTCTCTATTCTGCCAGGTAAATGTGTTTTTTGCACTTCGTTGTTATATTTATAAACACATCTACTTTGCTGTCACAAACTAACTTCAGCCCATAAATCATTTAAAGCATGGGAACACTTAATGCGTGTGTACACTAAGGACCTCTACGAGACTGAGTTCATGACAATCAGGTTTCGCGTGAAGTACCTTTACTTCGCTGATATAGTATCCACCAGTCCATGTATCCAATCTAAAAAGATTCATCACATTACTGTCATTAATGCATGACATAAAATTGAATGAACTTTATTGATGGAGTTTTTATAATAAGAATCCGATCAGTAGTGTCTAGCCTCGTGGAAAATCTCAGAAGTTTTAATTTGAAATCTTGACTGGTAGATTACTATTGTTACTACTACTTCTACCACTAGTATACGTCATATCCATGAGTGGAGATATAAGTTCAGTTGATCAGTGGGTCATTCTGTGCTTGAAATGAAAAGTAATGGGTTCCATTTTCAGTGTGAACTTTATCAGTGGACATTTCTAGTCCTTTGTAGAAAATGACGCTCATGCTGTGATCTATAGTTAGTCAATCTTTAACATGATGTTACATATTTTGATACAAAATGAAGGCCTTTTTTCTTATTTTTGCATCATTATGTTTCAGAACTTCAATGCATTAATACAGAAGTACAATCAAATAAAATGTGCACATCATCTTACTTAACTGATTGGTCGAAAATTATTGTGTACAAATTATTCTACTTATATACTTATAAGTAGTGTAAAATTATCTGAAAAATTATCTGTCAAATAGCGTTCAACCTGTCAGCCAACTTTTTTTAAGAAAAAAATATGCATCATGTTACTTATATATACGTATGTACACACTAACAGTGCAGAATAAACTTATTTTTCATCTACTTGAATCAACTAATGTATTTCTTTCATGTTGACGCCTTTTATTGTTCCTTTAGTTTGTTTTTTTATTGGAAATAATCTCAGTACCAGTATTATGCGTCAGGATGAGAGTAAAGTAAATTATATTATGGTGTATATTCCAGATTATTTACAGGTTGATTGGTTCGTTAAATTTTTTTGAGTGGTGTACTGATTTCCCAAATAATAAGAGGACTTTTTGTCGCGAATCATTTGTTCGCAAATTCTCAACACTATCACGAGAAATTTGTTGAAACTGTAGTATTGACCCTTTTTCTCTCAGTAATTTTGACTTTGATGCAGTTATTTATTGTAAATAAAAAAATTTGAAATGAATAGCGTCTTTTTATACCTGGATTTGGCGGAGTTTTGTCTTTTATGTCCCATAGGTATATACTATTTAATCAGTGTTGTGTTGTGACCATGATAAGATATTTCAGAAGCCTACATAGAGTCAAATAAAACCATTCTGAAATGTGGCAATACAAAATTTGTGCACAATCAAAGAGTTCGAATTTCGGAGGTTTCAAAATTTGGCCCGATTTTAAGAAGACCATGAAATGAAAGCTCTTTTTTAGTTGTATTATTGAATGTGTTGGCCTGTTTGAATGTTTTGGCTACCTGTTCCTCTCATCTAGATATTACGACGTTATCTTTTTTACTTTAGTTTAATACATTACTATGTCTATTAATCGCACAACTTATTCAAGCGCATTTATGGGAATTTTACGATTAATTGCTTTACAAGGGATCAAAAAGTACAATCAGAGACATTGTAGTGGTCATCAATATTCATTGGAAAGAATTAGCTTTATTCAAATGTCAATTCCTGAACCGCTTAATTATAACTGTCAAGATAAGTTGTCTTGAATTTCTGCCAAGCCAAAATATGTATCGTGATTGGGGTGTAATCACCATTCAAGGATCTTGGTTAAATGGTTTACAAGACGTTTTATTAGTATCACTATAAGATTTCAATATTGATCGCCAAGCAGTAAAAAAAGGTGTTCGGGCGGTATAGCCACATTTGTAAACGAGAATTAGTGTCAATCTAATTCTTCATGTTTTATGTTTTTAATCGAAGCTATCAACGGTTTAACTTTAAAATGCCTTCTGAAATACGTGAATATATACGATTATGTCTGTGTCACCGACATCTACGTGTCTCCAGACTACACATCATCTGCACTATCTATCTTTGTTGATAAATTCACTGAATTTGCTATTAATGCATTCAGTAGTTCACTTTCATTTGTATGTGGTGGTTTTAATTCATGTGATTGTATTTTTCTTCCATCACTAAGTCATCAAAATGTAGTAGATTTTCCCACTCGTTTGGAAACCCATTTAGACTTAGTTTTTGTTAATGATTTGGGAACATATATGACTCGTAAGCGTGCTCCATTGTCTAGTTTGGAAAGTGTTCAACATCTCTATTTTCTCATGGAGGTGAGCCATGAAGCGCTGTTTTTTCCCTTTTCAGCATGATCTATCTTCCACAGAAGACACTTGTTAAATATGCGGATGATTTCACTATATGCATGCTGATTTCTACCTCTTGAAATTAATGAGTTTTTGTCTCGTATCGAAGTGGTCTATTAGTAATGGTTTCACAATTAGCCCTTCTAAATGCCAAACTGTCAACTTTAGCCTGTGACATTGACAGCATTTAAATACTTTGTTGTTTTTTTAGGAGTTCTTTGATAAACGCAGTATCAAAAGTCATTTATCTTAGAGTACGCTTTTCCTCTCATTTCCCTTGATCTTCTCATATTTTATCGTTTTGAACAAAATTTTTCCGACTGAATTACTTCATAATGAGGCTACATGCTTTTAGTACTATTCGAAATTTACTCTTACGACTTGTCAATTCTTGCATATCACCTATTATTCTTTACTGCTGTCAACTGTTCTTTCTCGAGCTTTTGGGAGAGGAATTTTTTGTATTGAGCAAAATGATGAAGGCAGTTAGCACTGTTTCTAGTGAGTCTCGTGGTTATTATTATTATGGTTGTGGATAAACATTTTAATTCTTACGAATTCTTTTCAGGTGTTATCGTTTCATACATTTCATTTATGTCTTTCCCATTTCATATCTTGTGGTGGAACGAGACGCCAATGCATTAAAATCCGTACTCTCAAGTAAAGATTTGAAATCTCCATAACAATTTATCTAGCAACTGTACTACGTAACGAACAGGTTATTAGAGTTTATCTAGTCGACAGATTATATTCAAGTTAAAAGGTACGGATTCATGCCTTCTGAAAAAAGCATTGCGTTCAACTGCAGGTAATTCATCTATTTGACTCATGTATATATGTTTGCAGTCATCACTTCCCTTCGCTGTTTCTCCATTTTTATGAAAAAAAATTGTTGAAATACCTCTTTCCGAGAATTCTATGTTGTACCAAAAATGTAACACTGAATACAGCCATTGATAATAATACTCTGCCTAGTACTCTGTAAACTTTATAAGATGCATTGCCGTAAACAAGTCTTTTTTATCAGTATTCAGCAAGATGATTCTGTTTTGAATGACTGTAACTTGCCTTTATATAGTGCTTTACTTCAATCATTACTGCTACTATCTATAAGATCCATCACTTTTGAATAGTAATCGTGATCACTCCGTCAATTGTGAAAGCATAATGAAATTTTGACTTCCAAGGTTCATAGACCCGCTTCAATTTGTTCTACTGATAACCTGTATTATTTCCTTCCTGCCACTTTACACAGATTCTCTTCATCTCATAATTTTGGCACTTTTAGTTCTAGCAGCTTATGTAGCCAGCCCTGTCGTGCTTTTTCCATTTCAGTGAAGACGAAACGCCTAATAACGCTTTTGATTGATGATATCGTCCTAAGTCGGTTTTATACCGAATTATGTTTTGTTTGTCCATTAGATTTTTGTTATTGAAGAACTTTGGTTATGAGGATTATGTTGTCAACGAGCGCAATGTGAGACTTACTGCATCTACTTTTTACTGCTTTCAGGCCTGAAAGACACTTGGGCAAACTAGGTTTATGATGACCACAGTCGTAGACGTATCCCACAATATTTGCTTCGAAAAACATGGGACGGAAATAGTATGAATAGGGGAGTGTAAGAATGAATATCGTAGAGTTGTCAAGCTGCATTATTTGTACGAACTAATGGTTCGTTTCTACTTGAATATCCTCTGATTACGAATTCCAAACATATTAAGTTTATTCGTGTTCATCTACTTGCTGTAAATTGCATTATTTCGGGAATTCCGTGTTAGTACAGTAATTTGAATAATTCTAATTAACATACAAACTGGACTTACTATTCTACCTTAGTTTCAAAATCATCCCCCAGCTAATCAACAATGATCAGTCAAAATAGAACGAATCAAGCTAGTTACTATTCACTATTTATGTTCTATCATCTTTGAAGCTTGTAGCACATGTTTACCTTTGGGATATAGGTCCAGGTCAAGATAAGTGAATGTACCTGTCCTAATCGAATGATAGACCTGACCTAATATTGTGGACTCGCCATGAAATTATCATCAAATTTATAATACTATATGCCAATGACAGATTATTGTCCATACTGACCAGCCCTATTGTGAAAGTCAGCGTTTGCTTGTAAGATTGTTTAGATTATGACGGGGTTACTGAAATGTCATGGTCCAATGTTTTTGTATTAGTCACGCGTATTAGTTACTATATGACATTGTTTTCTAAACAGATCATGTCATTTCAATGAAAGGTCTCGGGTTAGAATCCTCACAATGTTGCAGTTGTAGTGAAGATACCACCAGTATTGTAGTATGGCAACTATTAACTAGTAACACCTATGATCGAATCGTTCCCACTCAATTAAAATCAGAATTCAGAAGCGAAGAGCTCGGTAAGATATATTTGATGCGTTATCAGTATATCGAGAAGCGACTACTCTAATCTGGTTAGTGAACGTAGGAGTTGTTTCCCACGCTGTGTTGTAACGTGATCTGGTGCCGATGCATGACCGAACGCCTTCAGCTAAACAAGTCCACTTAAACTAATGTGGTCAGCATCCATTTTTTGAACACCTAAGAAGCTATTGATTTTGTGGAATTATTTACAGCTACATACCAATCCCCCCTAGTGAGGAAGTAATGACTCTACGACGTGGCCAGCCAGAAGTTTAAGCCCAACGAGTTTGTCTTTGGTGAACACTCTTCTGATAGCTTGCTATGTTTATCAGTGTCTGGTCGTATCTCCTTACTATAAAGAGCCAGGAAAATACGGAATTGTAATCATAAAGCAAAATGCGATCAAAAATATCGGTTCTTCATAGACTTCATCGATCTTTTCCAGCCGTCCTGAAAAAGAAAAAAATGAATGTCGAAATACACTCCTACTTGCGTGAGAACACAAAGTGAGCGAAAAAAAGTAAACAAACCAATACGCTTGCGAGTGAAAAAAATGTTTTTTGTTTTGTTTTTTTAATAAAAAATTATACGCTTATTAGTAAAAAAATTGTTTTTTGGATTGAAAGTATATAAATGAGCACATTAAAAAATTTTTTACAATAAATAATGCTAAGGAAATTCGAGATAAAGTTTGTGTCCTACGCAAAATAGTTGTTCAAGTGTTCTGGAAACTTTAGTCTTCTTCCAGAATGCGTTGTTTTGGGTTTACCTATAGACGTTGACGAAGTATCATGGTGTTTGTTGACTGTCGTGTGGGGTACTATGAGTGTAGGAGCCGTATCTTTCGATTGTACCGAGCTAGGGTTTCCTCCAAAGTACGCTGCTTTTAGGCGGTCGATACTGATGCTATCGTTCGTGCCGTTCTTATCGACTACGTAGTACTTAGGTTCACGTTGAAGAACTTTGAAGGGTCCTTCGCATGCTGATTCGAGAGGTCGTCGATGTGAGTCTCGACGAACGAAAGCGTGCGTTCTATGTCGTAAGTCAGGTTGAAGGAAAACATCAGTTGATTGCGGTCGACTGTAAGCAGATTTAACTGAAGGCATTGCGTTTGTAAGCCTACTCGTGTAAGAGTTGAGATCCATGTTCACTGAAGAAGACGAATTTTCTTGGAAGTCTGAAAGTCGTTCCATAAACGAGTTGAGATACAGTGTATCCATTGTCAGCCTTCACTGCATTGCGGATACCTAGTAACACGAGTGGAAGAGTGTCTGTCCACTGTGAAACGTTTGCAGCTGATAGTGAAGCTTTAAGTTGTCGATGAAAACATTCTACCAACCCGTTTGCTTGTGGTTGTTATGCGGTCGTTCGGAAACGAGCGGTTCTTAGTAGTGTGGTCAGACAACAGAAAAGTCCAGATTCAAACTGGCGT